TGAATCGGAGACGGTGAAATTGTCCAAGTCTGTATGAACTTGGGTAATGTTGTGGTCAGTCATTTTTTAAATAATGTGGGATGGTGTAATTAATGCGGATAATATAAAAATGATTATTTGATGGTGATACAGTTATGCAAGGATTTATATTATAATTATATTTGGGTACAATTGAGAATTGTTTATTTATAACAGTATATTTAAAAATGTAATTTCCAAAAAAAAAAACAACAAAATTTGTAAGGGATAGATTTGTTTAGGTTCATAGGGTATATTCCTCGAGCACATTTACTTATATTTAGGAGAAGGTATGTATTGAAATATGTAAAAAAGTTTTGTGAGTGTGTTTGTATGTGTGTTATAACAGTATAAAAAATAAAAGTAAAGTTGAATGAACAAATATAAAATAACAGGGCATGCAAACCTGTGTACAGAATTAAAAGTGTGTGGTATAGTCATTTGCTATCTTGAGATATTCTTTGGAAGTCCTCTTCATTGTTAATGCGAAACGCCTTGCACCCCTCCAGTTTTCTTAAATACACAAATCCATGAGCAGCCCAACAGAATTTGAAGCCGTTCTCGCTTCCAAATTTACGTGCCATAGCGTAAATTTTTTTGGTTCGAGGTGAGAGACTTTCAGACACAAATATAGATGAGTTTCGGGTGTCAATTTGGGCTAGAGAAGTTGTGAGATTGGTCTTCTTATCTTGTCTAAATTGTCTTATCTTACTAAGCATTTTTTCCTTTGCGCGTGCCGTTGTAAATTCGACCACAACAGGAGTAACTGAAGTCGAAGCTGACGTGGATCTGTAGCGAAAGATATCTTTAATATCACAGTCCTCAATGGTTGACTCAACAGCAGTGCCTATGTTTTTCACCAATTGCACGAGACTTTGTTTACTTTCAGATGGAATTTTTGGGATATTGCGAATCTCGATACTTGTATTTCTAGAATTCCTCTCTAAATATTCAACCCTATTTTCCAGTTCTCTTATGTAGCTCAAGTGATTTCCTCTTTCCTTCTCACATTTATCGAGCTTTGTCTTTATTTCATCGTATTTAGCAGATAAAAATTCCATTGACTTCGAGATGTCACAGTTCTGTGCCCTTATTTCTTCTATTGCAGAGTGCATAGCAGATAATTTATGATTTTGTGCCTCACTAGCCGTATTAAACATGTTCTTAATTTCCACCATAAATGCATTCAAATCGTCTTCCATCATGTCGCCTCGCTTGCGCTTTTTTTGTCTCAAAGTAATATTACTAACATCCGTGAGCGATTCTCTTGGTTCATTAATTGATAAATTGGGTGTTGAGCCACTGCATTGTTTTGGTGGTGTCCGTGATAATGACATAATTAATACGGACAAATTATTTAATAAGTTTTATAATACCCTCGCTCGTTGAGACTTTTTGTAAAATCTCGTTTGGTGTCCGCAATCACTGGAAGTTATCGATGATATTGTAGCAGTCCACTATTAGTTGAGCTGAGGTCACCCTAAACCGGGCGCGATCGGGCGCTCGGTACGAAATTGCGATCAGTCCAACATAACAAGAGCCTCTCGACCGGCCTTTGACCGAGTAAATATATTGCACTGCAGCACGCTCGCGCCCGAAACGTCGCAAGCGCCGTGGATTTCACGTCGCTTACGCGCTCGCACAAAACACTGCGCACTAAAGTGTTATGTACCGACTTAAAAGTGTGAGTTATGAGCTTTTTATAAGATAATTACGGTTGTATTGTTTATTTATCTACACTTCACAAGTTATTCAAATGTTTATAATGATTGTCGGTAACAGTAACTGCAAATTAAGTAACACAAGCACTAATAATATCTGTTTATACCGAATTAAAAAATATTTATCTGAACATTGAAAATTATCAACTTGAAGCGATAACGCGCGGATTGCGAATAGAGCGTACTCCTTCCTAAAAGGCCGGCAACGCGTTTGTGACTCCTGAGTTGCAGACGCTCGGCGGCGATGGTCACTTTCCATCATGTGACCCGTCTGCACGTGTGCTCCTTTACAGAAAAAAACCCTCATTCATGAGATTCGTGACGTAAAAAATATGAAATATACTTACCACATACAGATTAAGCCCGGCGCCTAGAATAAGGATAAGGAATCCTTAGGCGTACCTACGCGCAGCCTTAATTATTGTCAAGGAGTCCTCAGGCATGCTGAGGTGTGCTTGGGAATGCCGAGGAGTTCTCAGGCTTGCAGAGGTGTGCTTAGGAATACCAAGGAGTTCTCAGGCATACCGAGGTCTGCTTAGGAATGCCACCGTAACAGCCTGATTCCTAGCTTCATTAAGAACAGTGGCAACGTTGCAAACGAACAGTCGTATACATAAAGTAAAATTAGGACCTTGTGCTCATTGCTATTCTTGCTGACAAAGAAAAAAAACTAACAGCTTGTTTCCTAGTTTTGACCCGGTGTCCCGTAGACTGCCGTAACTAGCCGAAGGTTGCTTCGGCCTCTTTGCCTTGGCTTCCGAAGATTGCCGAGGTATTCCGACACGGCCTAGAGTATGCTTTACGCTGCCGGACACTGCCGACATATATTATACTGAGGTGTACATTGACAGTCTTGACCTTTCAAGCCGTGCCGACAGAGGGCGCCGCGTCTTATTTTTTTAATTAATTAATATTTTTTAATTGACGAATTATTTTTAGAAATCGCTTGCTAGTTGAATTTCGAACATAATTCAGTTTTGATTTAAGTATATCATTGGCCTATTGACCAATATAATTTGAATGGTTATTGTACTAACATGAGGCAGATACCATGACAGGTCAACATTTATGTGTATGTTGGTCAGTCATGATCATGATACGTGACGCGTGTATCATAAACATAATTTAGCAGGCTATTGGCTATGTAAAGTTTGAATAAAGAGTGTTTATGTAACATAAACACATACATTACATAAACACTCTTTATTCAAACTTTACAGGTCTGCATTTGCATGAAATCTAAACTTCTTTAGAAGTTTTGTAAAATTTCTTAAAAATGAAGCCCTACATTTTAATATATAGATATCTGTACTGTTAAAATGATTGGTTGTAAATTTTAATGATATATTGCCTTTTCACAGATTCAACCTTGCATTAAAAGTGACGAGACATGACATATTTTATCTTAACAAGAGATTGGAGTACCTAGTCATCTTGACTGATGAGATTATTTTATATCAGTAGACAATGCCTACATATTATCAAGGCCACTACAACATAATAATATACTAAAGGCTAATTGGGCACTTCATAACAATAGTGTTGTATAAAATTACAATTCCTTTTTTAATTTTCCATTGATTTGCCGTACTCATACATTAATTGTTTACTCTAAAAAAAAAATTATGAAAAAAATGTTACACATCTCACACACGGCGGTCTGATCCCATACTAGGCAGACCCTGTGCTATGATAACCAGACTACTAATTACATGAATATTCAAGAAACAAAAATATAGATAGGTCAAAAAAATTTTGTAAAAGAACACTGTAAACATTTAGATGCATTAAATAATAAAGCTCTTATTGTAACGTTAAAACAGACATGTAAAATTTAATTTAATTTTAAAAATAATGGCTTTCTATATATTACATATATTAATAAATATACATTGAGTATTTATCGAATTCCTTTTTTAAGTATTGGGGGCAAAAGTGCAGCCAGGTCACCTGATGGTAAGTGCCCTATGCCATAAAAAATGATACGCATATTCTTGCTAACCATACTTAAAAGGCACGAGACTAATTGAATCTCCCAAAACCACACTAAAAAATAGATAAGGAGTACGACTGCGAGTTATTAAGCAAAAACTTTAATGGTATGCTGGTATCTGGCAAGCATTTCTTATTATCTTAAAAAGGTTAATAGCTGGTTTGACATTCTCCTCATGCTTCTTCATGAAATACATTTTTTTTTCATAGGAAAAGTTTATGAGTAGTTGAATTATATTCGTATTCTTCATCAGTGTGGTGACGGATTAAGAATACGTATTGTCACCGATTTGCCTTTTCACCTATTCATCCCGTGGGTGTCGTAAGAGGCAACTAAGGGGGCAAACTACGCAGGACAACAGCACTGCAAAGAGAAGGAAAAACACAAACCCTATACCAACCCGTCTGGCCAGCGTGGTAGGTATGCCAAAAATTCCTTGCTAAGAGGTCTATGTCCAGCAGTGAACTATTAAAGGCTGTTGATGATGAAGAACATTATACATCATCTTCATCATCAACAGCCTATGCCACTACTATGCCACGCTGACATAGAACATTATACATGATTATATAATTCTCATTTTAACTGATTATATTTTTTATTGCAATACTGAGAAGTATAGTCAAAACCAAATGAATTGGTATACGTAAAGGAGCCATTAGGCTAGAGACAGACACACAGATATTCAGGATAAATTTTAAGACCCTTCTTTTTGCGCCGGGGTTATAAAATAACATAGATCGAGGAACTTATAAATAAATTTTTAAATAGATTTTTAAATAGGATTTTGTTTTATAGAAATGATCAAAGATAGAATGTAAGTTTTGGGTGGATTCTAAATACATTAATCACACACTATCATTAGCTACACACCTACTTAATGAATCACTTTCATCGTCGAATTTGAAAATTAATTTTATTTTCCTAGTCAGGCTTTATAGCTGATTTCCAAAAGTATCAATAACTTTTTAAAAATCAAACTTTTATGTTATGTTCTAAAGAAAATTAGTTTATGGTACTTAACCATAGCCTAATTTCTATCGATATTATGTAAGGACAACATTATTAGCCGCTTGTAGCGCCCTCTTTCCCTCCAAATTGTCAACGATTGTTTGTCATTGTTTGTCTCATGGCTGCAGGTGTGTTATACGTTATTTCCTTGTGTATTATTACAATAGAGAATTGTTATTAAGTACAAGAACATTAGTTGTGAGAATTTTACTGACTATCTCAATTAACCTGGAGAACGTGTATTAATTTAGCATAAAATGCAGTCTGGAAGTGGTGCAAAAAATCCGCCATGGGCACGATCTAATGTGAATACAAACATGACCGGCATGAATCCGCAAATCATGGATCCAAACCAAATGATGTCCCAACAAGGTATGATGCAGTTCCAACAAACTCAAGTGTTCAATCCCAGTATGATGCAAGCCCAAAGCGGCATGGCGATGCCGATGGCAGGGCAAATGCCAATGAATCAAATGGCCCAAGGTCAGATGTACCCCGGCAATGTTGTTGCATATCCAACACCTCGTGCTATGAACCCAGGAATGTATCAGAACGCACAGTCAAATCAATCACCGGCAAACGCCGAACAGCGCGTCTTTACTGGAACTGTCACCAAAACACACAATGACTTTGGATTTGTAGATCATGATGTATTTTACCAGACATCTGTATGTGCTAAAGGAATAATTCCCAAAGTAAACGATAGAGTACTTGTTGAAGCTACTTTTAATCCTAACATGCCATTCAAGTGGAATGCAACCCGTGTACAAGTTTTACCAAAAGGAGGTCCAAACCAAAAACCAAATAACCCTAAATCTAGCAATTATAATGCTGTGCCACCGCCTATAAACAAAAATAAGTCGATGCCATCTCGACGTGATGATAGACCTCGTAGAGATGACAGGGTAAGTTAAACTTATGTTAAAAATATTTAAAATGTATTAAATATCACATAAGTGTAAGTCTTAATCATTTCGCTTTAATTCCATTTGCAAGGATTTGTTCTGAATTTTTACAGGACAAAATACTATTAAATACCACATTCATTACAAACTTACGATTGTATTCTAAAAAATATATAAAAGGGCCCTATATAGAAATCATGAGTAAGCAATTTTGCTTGCTGCTTCAAATTTAGTTGAAATACATGAAACCGTTGAGTATAGTAAATGGTCTTCAAAGAAAATTACATCAATTGGGTAAATGTAGGACCAAAAAATATTAAGGATGTCGATGAACATCATCTACCACTTCTTAATCCGATGTTATTAATTCAATCTGCAGAGCATAAATCTTGAACGTAGAAAAAACAAAAAATATCACACCAGATTATTAAATATGTGCCAGTATTTAAATGTAAATTAATAAATTTATTAATCTGAATTCCTGGTGTTGCAGAAGAGATCACGCACACGGAGCCGTTCTCGTTCACGCGATGTCCGCGACATCCGCAGCCGCCGTGATTCCCCGCCGCGCAAACGACCCGTTGTTCACCAGCCCTCCCCTATTAAATATGTTGTACGAGTACCTCGAATGCCTCTAGATATGTAAGTTTATTTTCTGATAGCCTTCAGTTCCGTTTACACTAATTCACAATTTTCTTACATAAATACTGAATGTGTAATTTATTCCAGCCAAAAAATGGATGTACCTGGCGTATCACAAAGATATACAAATCTGTATGTCCCATCAGACTTTTTCAGTGCCCAGGTTACTTGGGGTGAAACATTCCCACCTCAAGCACCATTTTCCATTAATAATCCCTGTGCGTATCATATAATGAGTAAAGAGCTTGAGAACCCTAACACTAATGACGCTGTTTTGGAACCGCCAGATGCAGATTATAGATTTTCAGCTAAAGTAAGTTCAGTTTCTATATATAATATATTCATTTTATGTTTCACTTCTCTGAATTAAAATTAGTTCCAATAATCTTAATCTCTACATATAGATTGTTTCCTCTGAATGCCTAAAACTATTAGCCAAGCTGTCGGCTGCAACTTGAAAATGTGGTACTACATATCACGTTTTTAATGTTTGTCATTTAAAACAAAGTCTAAAATTATTATTATTTCTTTGGCAAAAATATGAATATTTATTTATTTTCAGGTAATGTTAATCAGCATGCCAACCTTAGAGTCTCTTTATCAAAAATGTGGACTCACAAAAGTAGATGAGAAAGACAAACGCAGCACTAAAACTCCACTACATCCAACAAGATTAATCAAATTCCTTGTGGGACAAAAAGGCAAAGGTGGTGAAAATTTTGCTATAGGTGGCCCTTGGAGCCCTTCCTTAGATGGTGAAAACCCACAGTCTGATCCAAAAGTTTTGGTAAAGACTGCTATACGTACTTGCAAATCACTAACAGGCATAGATTTATCTTCATGTGCGCAATGGTAAGTGTCACTCTTAACACTGGTTTGTCTCTAGCTCCAGAAATTTGCTGGTGTTTATCAAACATTTGTATTTATTGGAAAGAGGATCCTCTCGTCAACATACTTAAAAACCACTTCAGATTTAAAATCGTGATAGCAGGTCTCGACAGAGGACACTCTTTCCTAGTTTCACGTCTCATATTTGTCATGGTACACACATTCCTTATGTGAGTGTATGAAGGCGTTTGTACATCATGAACGGCGTTACTGGTCGGATGCAGAATCGATGTACTGTGTTCCAAAAGAGCAGTCGATTGACTCTCGTAGCGGATGTGTCGTGTCCATGTGTGCAGTCGGGTGGGCGGCGCGACCAAGTGCGCTTGTGAGTATGCCACTATAACTGTATTACCCACGCAGGTACCGAATGGTGGAGTTTTACTACTGGCGCGAGGGCAGCGGCGGCAAGTCGCGGCTCGAGTGTGTGGTGTTGTTCCTGCCAGACGTGTGGTCAGCGCAACCGTCGCGGGTCGACTGGAACACAGTACAGGAGCAGTATAAGGCGGCCTGTGAGGCGGCCGTACGAAAGCTCGACGGCGACGAGCCGGAGTCCGTCAAGCAACCGCAGTCAGCCCCGCCCGACTCTTCTGCGGCGGACAAATCGCAAATTGTTTGTTCCCAGTTTTGTTTAGTTAAGATTCCGGCTGCGTTTGCTCCTAAAAGCAACGAAGAACTACGTGCCTGTGCTGCAGTAATGTTCCTGCTGCCACCGGACGTCTCCGCTCATAGAGATAACACTATTATAATAACTACATTCTTCCATTTACAGAACTATAAACTTAGAGCCAATTTTCACTTTAAATGTACAAAATCACCTTTCTTATTTTTAAAACTAAAACTCAGCTTTCAATTTGGTCCCTGAGTTAAACTCTAGGAGTACTATTTGAGAAGTAATATCATATTACAATTTCCAGGATAAGAAAGACTTGGACAGTAGTACAATAACCATTGATGAGAATGATGAAGATGATGAGGAAAAGCCTGAACCGACACACTACTCTAAACTGGATCTGAGGACTATAAAGGTCGATCAGTTAAAGCAAGAATTACGAGCACGTAACGCTAAATGCAAAGGTAACATAATACATACATTGTTTTAAATAATATGTAGGGAAATACTACAGATATGTACACAAATTACTTACAAGAAGTCCAAAAAACAATCAATTAGTAAACACTTATTAACACAAATTGACGAGATTTTTAACATACGTTCACGCGTTCTTTTGGAACTAACTAACAATGTAAACAAGTCTTGTAAAGAAATTTTAACCTATGGTACCTAAATCAAACTTTTATGTAACATGTATTGAATATACATGTTTCATAAAATATGACAATACTATAATTTGGTGTCTTGGAGCTTATCTTATAATGGACCAAAAAGGATGGAAGTAATTCTTCAGTGGCCACTAATAAATCCTACGAGTTTGGCGTCGTATGATTCGTAGTAACACCCTTGCGTACAGCGCTGCCACAGCGCTAGAATAACACTGCAGTAACAGTAACACAGTAATAACAAAAAATTATAGTAATTATAAAAAACCTCATCTGCTATATATTTACATGGTACATAGTTGGTCTACCTTTTGGATTTTGGAGTATATATCTATTAGGTCTTTATAGCTTAACCTACCTTATAAGTTTTCCATATACATAGTTGTATACTTTGTTAATTTAGGGCTGAGAGCTCAACTTTTATCTCGTCTATCAAAAATGCTAAAAGCTGAAGAAGCAGAGGAGAAGAAAGATGATGTAATGGAACTCGAGGATGATGAACAAGAGCAGGAGGAACAGAGCCATGATGAGAAAATAGATGTAAAAGATAATGAGGAAGTGGAGGAAGAAGCTAAAGTAACTGAAAATAAGACAGAAGATCAAGAGAAAAAGCCTGAAGAAAAGGTAGAAAAAGTAAAATCTGAGAAAGAGATTGAAGAAGATAAAAGAAAGGTAAGTTAAATGAAAGTTAATTTATATGTATTGACATGGTTAAAATATTTTGGATCAGAAACCATAACTACTAGTTACAGATTACTGTAACCAGTAGTTATGGACTTATGGTACTGGACTTATAATTAAAAGTACTGACCGGATGGCGTAGTGGACCGCTCAAGTCAAACATTAAATGTTTGATTTGGTCTGGGTGTTTCTATGTATTTACAAAAAAAAAAGTATATATGTATTTATATCAGTTGTCTAGTACCCATAGTACAAGCTCTGCTTAGTCTGGGACTAGATGGTGTTGTGTGAATGTGGTACAATATTATTATTATAAACTTAGTTATTGTTTGATTAGATCATTAGATTAGATTAGATTCATTTGATATGTGGTAAAGTTGGAGCAGTTTTTATTATAAAATGTTTATCTATTAAAGACTTAACAGTTTGTTTGTACTTTCAGCTGGAAAAAGAAAAGGCACTACTCAAAACCCGGTATGAAATTCCGACCACCCCTCACATCTTGGTGCATCCATCCAATACAGCAAAAGGTGGTAAATTCAACTGCAGTGTTGCTACCCTCTCGCTATTATTGGACTATCGCATCACTGACAATAAAGAACATAGTTTTGAGGTATGCAAATAACTGAGTTAATTTGATTTTGCTTTTTTTTGGTGTATAAGGGGTAAACGTGAAAACAGGTCACCTGGCACGCTATTGCGATGCCATTGCGTCGCCATTGAAATCATATCATCATTCATAGTGTCAATAGACTGTCGATATAGTAATATAGGTCATCATTGGTAATATCAACAACATTGCACAACATACCTGGAAAATTAAATATATCATTTTCTTACAAATTTAAAATGTACCATTTACCAAACTATTACAAAAACATCGACGACAATCCATCGACAGTCTATTGATACAATATTAATATGGCAGAATTCAGGCTCTTATGGTAAGTGACTACCAATGCTAATAGACATCCATCATGCAAGAGTCCCCTCCTACAACTCTTGAGCCTGCCCTCAGCTGATAGGATTGGGCCGCATCTCACACACTCGATGAAAAACTGAAAGAATGCCTAACATCGGTTTTCTGTAAGTTCTTGGTATCACTCCGGTCGAGCTGAGCATATGTGCCAGGCCATGACTTTCCCACGGTAATTAAAAACATGTAAAAAACTTTAAATAATATTTCCAGCTGTTCGTGTTTGCGGAACTATTCAACGAGATGTTGATGCGTGACTTCGGATTCTACATTTACAAAACTCTGTATACATTACCTGAAAAGACTGAAGAGATCAAAGATAAGGATAAAGATAAGTCAGATGAGAAATCAGAAAAGAAACCAGAAGATAAGAAAGACGAAAAGAAGGAGAAGGAAGAAAGACCAGAGAGGCGCGATGACAGGCGTGATTCGAGAAGACGTGATAGAAAAGTAAGTTATTTTTCTAATATTTAAAGATAATTCACATCAACAGCTTTTAATAGTCCACTGCTTGACATAGGCCTCTCCTTAGACAGGAGGTTTCTGCCACTATACCACGCTGGCCAGACGGGTTGATATAGGGTTTGGGTCAAGTTTTCCTTCTTTTTGCAATGCTGGTGTCCTGCTATGGTGCTATTTGATTTGACCTTTACTATAAGCACGCGACGCTAGAGTTGGTGGTAAGATGGCAGGTGAGATGTCAGCACACGTTATGTACCACTGTAGGACTCGCTCCTTTTTCTTCTTATCGTATCAGCTATAGTCTTGATACCTCTGCACTAAGCAAAATTTATCAAAGCTGTTGGTCCTCCAAGATGTAAATAAATAAATATTATTTTGTGGTTAATTAAAGTTTAAATCCTCTCCTTTCTAAAGAGAGGCCTTTGTCCAGCAGTGGACTATTAAAGGCTGTTGATAATGATGAAAGTTTAAATGGCAGTAGGAAGAAACAATAATTAAAAAATATATGCAATGCAAAAAAAAATTGATTCCTAATAAATGTTGAATGCTTATCTTAAAAATAGGTTTAACTTTTAGTACTTTTATAGTATTTACATCAGTTATTGATTGATTAAGGTAATGTGATGTATTATATTGTAATTTTTTTTTTATCCTACAGGACTCTCCCAGTGACGACGAACGGAGTAGTTCACCGAAGAGGCGCAGTCGCGGCGTAGAGTTGCCGCCCGACCCGTACTTGTTGCTGTCGCTGGTGTACTTCGACACGTCACGCGGGGGCAGCATGACCAAGAAAGATCTACAGAACTTGTTCATGAGTCTTGGCTTACAACTGTCACGGTCACAAATCAGGGCTATACTCGAAAAAGTGTGCGTAAAGGATTCATTTAATTACAAGTAAGGATTTTTTCTATTTAACAGCCATCCATTTTTCTAATTTCACGTTACTAGATTATTTTTTAAATGGTAATAATAATTGGTGAATATGTAAGCACAATTAAATATCTAGGCAAACCAAATTACATGTGTAACATGTATGTATTATTATATTATCACATAGCGTAGCGACGCATGCCGTGGCGAAGCGTCACCACGCCAACAACCGATCTGACTTTATTACGTTCCGACCTTAGATGTTTCACATCAAAATATTTTAACAAATTTTCAGTTTTACGTTTGAAAGTTGCTCATACAAAATTGCAGTTTTGCTAAACCGAAAATGAGTTACTAATCTTATGATTAGTGATCAAGATGGAACATTACATGTTAACATCATACATTGATGTTTTAACATTCCGTTATTTACCAGCACAATAATCGGATTTTGTTTATTCATATTTGTAAAAGAAATAAAAAAAACTGAATACCGAATCAAATAATGAAATTTAAAGCCTTAATTTATGAAATGCTACATTTTCCGATTGCCTATTGCCTAAACTATATTATTGTGCTGCTTTTATTTTTTATTCATAGAGTTAAATATCGTATTAGATTATAAAGTAATATTAAGAGTAAAAAAAACGCGTACATTTGTATTATGTAGAGCAATTTGAAACGTTTTAAAAAAAACCTTAATGTTTTAGGGCGCTCATGCAGACCATTAAGGATGTCGCGTCAGGCACGTCAGATGCAATCCATGACTTGCCACTGGATACAGCAACTATTGCTAGTGAAGTACCCGCTCATGTAAATATTACAATACAGCATACAGCACAATATATATTATTTAATCAATATAGTTTAAATATGTCTTAACAAATTTTTCATATTTTTAGATCGCTGAACTAGAAGAGACAATTGCGTCTGGGAACCGCAATTTATTGCCAGTTTTTAATGCAACACTAGATGATGCAGAGTCTCAGGAAGGGGAAACCAAAGACGTCAGTGAGTCAGGTAAAACTATTCCCAATTTAGTGTATAACAAATTGCATGCATAGATATGTACATAGCCTACCTATAACGAAATACCCGATCAGATTTGCATGTGTGTGTAGTTCTACTGATATTCTTATACTGTGTACATATATAGACTCACGTTTTATATCCCTGAAGAAATACATTGAATTTATCTTTACATCATTTCAACTCAATCTGTCCATTCATAATACTTTTTAAGTAATAAAATGAAGCAAATCGGTCAGACAGAATAGCCAGTTGGTATTATTTAGCCGCTAGAATAGACTAAAAACGTTGAACAACATGCCTTGTTGTTAAACGATTCCTGACGGCGGACAAATGTTTCGTGGGTCTTCTGGGGCGCCAAGAGCCAGGGACTTTGATAGCTCCTCTGGTGTGCCATCCACCATGAATTATAACTGTTGGATTTTTCCTGTTTTCACTTTTTATACGTTAAGTCGCCACCCAAAGTCGAACTTAGCCGTTTTACATTTTGTTTAGTGTATTTAAAAGTCACAATCTATGTTGTATTAACGCGAATCGAATGTAAGTGATATATTTCTATCAGGTTTTGTAAACCTTTTTGTACTTTACATCATTATTGGTCGATGTGATTTTGGCCTATCATGCAACATGAAAGAGTGCATCTGAAAAAATCGTTTAGGTCCTATTAATAATAAACTTTTTTATTTATATTGAAAAAAATAGCATTGTATTTAAGTTTTGAATAAAATAAAAATAACCGAAAGTATCGAATTGGGTTAAACTGACATTTTTAAATGTGATGTGATAAAACATGTGAAATCATAAGAAGTACATACTTAATAATATTGTTGTGACAGATAGATACAAGTTCTTTTTTGTAAAATTCATAATTGTAATTGCAAAAGTTATGAAATTTCACCATCTAAACGCACGATAAAATTTTCACCTTTTTATTGGGGTAGGACTGAGTGACTTGACTCCGACTTCGATTCTGACGGTGACTTTATTAACTTAAAAAAATAATAATTAGACTTCATAAAATTACATAACATGAAAGAATCGGTAGTATTGCGTAGTAAGTATATTACAAACAAAAACAAGGGAATCAAGCTGGGGAATCAATCGTCGCTCTGTTATTTTCCTATTTAATATTTTATGTACTTATAAAATTGCGTGCGTGCATGAATACATTTCACACATCTGAGAGAGTCGAGTCGATAAACTTATTTTAATCATAATTATATTTCTATCGAAAAGGTTAACAATCTCTGAAGTATGCTAATAGACATGATAACCTAAAACGAACACTGTTGGCATGATCTGCGTGACAAATAAAAACACTTTTCGGTATGGGAAACGTCTGGAAAATATTATTTTACTCGAGTTTTTAGGGTATGAATTTTTGTTCCTCTCTGTAGTAGTGCCATCCGCACGTAATCAGTTAAAATTAATTATGACTTGACATTACGGTCGTTCGATATGAAACTCGAGTGAGACTACTACCGGAAACGCGGGTATCATATATATAATAATGTGTGGTCTCGCGCAGGCATGGTGATGTACAAGTCCCGGCTGGTGGACGTGGGCGCGCTGGTGGCGGCGGAGGCGCGCGGCGCGGCGAGTCGCGCGCGGCTGGAGGCGGCGCTGGACGCCACGCGCGGGGCGCTGCGGGCCGCGCGCGCCGCCGCCGCCTCCACGCAGCAGGCCGAGCGCGGCGCGCAGCACCAGCTCTCCGACCTCAGCCGCGGGCTCGCCAGCGCGCGCGCGCGCATCGCCTCGCTCACGGTACGTCCGATCTCTTCTCAGCGACCGCGACGTCGCCACTCTTCCCGCTAATTTTATTGCGTTGTCCCCTTTTGCAAGCGATATGTCGGAAAAATTTGTCGTAGCTAAGAAAAAAGTTATTCAGCAACTATTGAGCATAAAGACGATGATGATATTCTTACTGTGTTATTGTCTATGCCTTCGGAAAAAAGTATAAAATTGACTTATTTTCTCATCACGAGAAGAGAGTTACTATTTATTCACCAATAATTTAATTTCTCGTCCTCGTTCAGTTAAAACGCCGCCATTTTACTGCGCGTGTCGTCTACGTCGCGTGACTACACTGCCTCGGAAGCACCGGTTGTTCTATAAAAATTGAATTTTCTTTTGAGAAACGTAACGCTAAACAAATGTAGGCAGTGTGTAATCATTATTCACTTCACTAGCAATCAGTATTTATACACTTCTCTGTTTCATGCCATAAAAGTTAGAATACAAACCCATGTAAAAATTAATAAAATACTACTTACTCTGCATCAGCCAATTTTAACGTGAAACGTGCGTGTAATGTGTAGTGGTTTAAATGACATATTTAGAACTCACAAATGTAACCATATAACTCTACTAAACGTCCTACCTCGGCTAAATTTTTTAAATGTCAAAATTGTGTATCACAATTTTTGTCTCATTTAATTTCTATTTTTACAGGCTAGTTCGAAAATATTTCATTCCGCCTTGAAGAGCATACAGTCTAAAGTAGAAGCTGTAGTAAATATAAAATATGAAGATGATGATGTCGTTGAAATAGTAAATGGACCAGCACAGTAAGTAACACTTATTCTTTCTTTTACGAGCAAACCCGCACATTTGTAGTAGTTAATAAAATTAGCTTGTATTGCACTCGTATTGCATAGGCTAACTTTACACACTAAATTTTGTACAAAAATTAAGTAAGTCTCCTACTTAAATATTTTACACTAATAAAAGAATTTAATCCGTTACAGAACTGATAAATCAAAAGAGCCAAAAAAAGTGGCTGAAGATAACAAAAATAATGTCACAAACAAAGACGAATCTTCACCGAAACCTGAAGACAAAACTGAAACTGGTGATGCACTGGACTCAGAGACCAAAGTTAAGGAAGGTGATATAATCACAGATGAAAACATGGATCTAGATGACAAAGAATAGCATTCATATGCTCATTAAATAACCTATTCGAAATAATTTCCTAAAATAATTCATACTTTACTGATATAAGTATAATCTGAAACAATACTCCATAGTTTGACAATGGTAATTGAAGACTCCATGGAATAAAAATTTGAACACATCTTTAATCTTGGAGTGATTTGATTTTGTATAAATAGCATTGTTACTTTATTTCTTCTAGGTGACACAGACTAGACGTTTTGCCATGTATTCGTTTTTAGAATATTTCGTAATCTACACATATAAAAACAGATTTGTGAATAAAATAAAAAACTCACAAATTTTACTAGTTGATAAGATTTTTAGTGTAGTGTGGCGCCTTATCTGATATGTAGTGATTGTGTGCTTGTTATAAGTGAGATAAGAAACATGTGTAAGATTTCTGACAATAAAGTTTAATGAAAATCACAAATAGTATTATTTTGTCATCCAGTATTGATAAATCTTAATAAGATCATATAAATTATATTGTTTGAATCGTATAGCACTTTCTCGAAACGTCGAAACAGTTTATTATGGTGTAATATATATATTATATTGCCGCTTATCGAACAACTCCGACAGAGTAATTTTGTCTAACTTTACTTTACTAATGAATGAAGAAATCGCTTAATTATTAGTTTTAGAAGCTTAAAACTTAGTTAAAGATGTGAGTTTATGGATCATAAATAGTGTTTTCATAAAACGAAAACGGTAGTTTCAACGTAGAAAAGTAACTTTATTCAATGATTGTCGGCTAGCTGTCGCGTCGTTCGTTTGGTTAGCACGTGCGTCTAGAATTTTTTCAAACCTTTGGTGATTTTGTGACTATTGGGTCTTTTTTTTTGTTATTTTGTGCTGTCCTTGGTTACGGTGTGTTGTTTGTAACTAAATATTATTACCGGTAAGTGAAAATGAACGGAAATAAACCGCCCGACCCTCCCGATATTCCATGTCCAGTAACCCCTCCTTTCACCCCTATTCCTCCCTTACCCGATCAACCTTCAACCCCTTCCAACCCCTTAGAACAGTTTGCCAATGTGGTCTGCAACGCTACGGTGGAAGAAACTAGGCCCCTCGTTTCTACCTCACGGAAACGAAATGGGAACGATGAGGTAAGTGCCCCCCCTCTTAAACGTCTCCAAACTCAAACAAAAACCTTTGTTAGTCGTGACAAATACACAAACAATGACAGTGGTCCCTACATGGTACATGTTTCTCGCGTGGAGAGCCAGTTAGGCTCTGGTACAACTCTCCATCCTGTTTCGTTTGGACTTTTTCTTTTTAAAAACAATATAAGTAATATTGTCAGAGATGGCATTAAAAAAGTGGGAAGGAATAGAGTATCCGTACAGTTTTCATCCCCTCAGGATGCTAATGCATTCCTAATTAACCCCCTCTTAAATATTTATAAATTTACTGCCAGCATTCCTACTTATAACATTACTAGAATGGGTGTTGTTTCTGGTATCCCTACCGACATGAATGATGATGAAGTAATTAAATTTGTGACAGTGCCGCAGGGCTGTGGGCAGATTATTAAAGTCAGGCGTCTTAACCGAAAATCATTTAATGAAGGTATCTTGGAGTGGAAACCAACAGAATCCTGTGTCCTCACTTTTGATGGCCAGGTTCTACCTAAACGAGTTTTCTGCTGCTATAATTCTCTTCTTGTACAGCAATATATTTACCCCACCGTCCAATGTAGGAAATGCTGCAGGTTTGGTCATGTGGAGTCTATCTGCAGATCTAGGCCTAGATGCAACAAGTGCGGACATGAGCATCCCAGTAACGAATGTGAGGTAACAGAAACGGGGGCCTTTTGTGTCCTATGCTCTGGTGGTCACTTTGCCAACAGCAAGGCTTGCCCGGAGTATGGCAGGCAGAGGGCCATTAAGATCATGATGGCGGAAAAAAACATTTCCTATATGTATGGAAGCAAATAAAGTGGTCCCTTCTACTACTCGCAGCTATGCTGATACCCTAAATACCCCACAATTTACCCAATCCTCTCAGCCCACCCAACCCATCCAGTCTACCCAGACCCTTCGGTCTACCCAACCCCTTCAACAAACCCAGTCCTACCGAAAAACTGTTCTTCGGCAGCCTAAACCTCGCCCTACACTATCCAAATCCTATGATATAACTACACACCAATCTATCATTCACTCTCCCCAACCTTCTCAACCTAATGGCTGTGCTCTTAACTCATCACTCGAGACTTCTACTATTGACCTTATAATACAGCTTTTGACTTCTCTATTAACCTCAAATTTACCTCTATCTCAATCCCCTTCTAGTATACCGTCCAACGTTGCTAACACACTCATCAACTTATTAACCAACTTTAAAAATGGCATCCCAACAAGTATTCCTACAGTGGAATGTGAGGAGTGTGTTTCATAAGAAGCACGACCTCATATTCTTGTTGAATAAATACAAGCCTTTGGCTGTCTCTCTTGCTGAGACTTGGCTTCTACCGGGTCTCAACTTCCATGTTCCACATTTCAACATGCTTAGATGCGACAGGTCTGATGGTTACGGAGGTGCAGCCCTCCTTATAAATAACAGAGTCCCTCTATTACCCCTCCCCTTACCCCCATTCCCAGATGATATCAGCATTGTAGCAGCGAAAATCAGTAGTGTATCTGTGCTTTCCATCTACATTGCTCACCCCCAGCAGAGTTTCCTCCCTATATTGAGAGACTTGCTACAGAGCCTACGGAGCCCAATATTAGTTATGGGAGATTTCAACTGCCATCACTTTAGATGGGGATCTGAGCACTGTGACAGTTTTGGCATTGGTTTGTTGGAGATCATTGATGATTTGAACCTCTGTGTTCTCAATAACGGCTGCTCCACTCGTAGAGTCCTCCCTGGTCAGAACAAAAGCTGTGTTGATTTGACCATTTGCTCCCTGGAAGTTGCTGCGGCTGCTTGCTGGCGGTGTACGGATTTGTCTCATGGTAGCGATCATTACCCAATATTATTATCCCTCCCTAGCTCAACTCACCTGGAAAAATCATGCCCTCCCCTCTTAAAATATAACCTCTCGGAAGCTGACTGGCTAAAATTCTCTCAAATCCTTGAATCCAATGTTCATACCCTCCCTAGATTTGACTACAGATCCCTATCCTACGATGATCGCGGCCATGTGACGGACTATTGTGATGCCTTTGTGGATGCAATTAGGTCAAGTGCGGACAGCTGCTTTAAAATTAAGAATTCCTGTAGGGGCAAAATTCCCTCACCCCCTTGGTGGGACAGTGAGTACTAATGCCATTAGGCTAAGAAAAGAGTCCGAAAGGAGATACAATGCTCACATGTCAACTCAAAATTTACTAAATTATCAAAATGTTTTTGCTTCGACCAAGCGACTCCTCCGACGCAAAAAGCGCATTGGTTGGATTAGCTTCTGCTCCTCTTTGTCCCCATCTACTCCATCTTCTATTGTGTGGAAGAACATAAATCGGTTCCGGTCTGGATGCTCTCCCTCAGTGTCTTCCTCTATCTCCACAGACACAGCTGAACTCCTCCTAGACAAAATTGCCCCCCCTTATGTCCCACATCTAGATGAAGTCTCCCAACCAAGTGTTCCACCTCAGTCGCTGGGTACTCACGATGAGCCTTTCTCCTTGGAGGAACTGAACATGGTTCTTCACAATGTGCGAGACTCTGCTCCTGGTATGGATGGTATCCCATACTCTTTTATAGCCAATGCTAGCTCTAGTACTAAATCCTACTTCCTAAACATTTTAAATTTTTGCTATATCAATGGTTGGGTCCCGGATAAGTGGAAGGTTCAAATAATTATTCCTATTTTGAAACCTGGCAAACATGCAGGAGACCCAAATAGCTTCAGACCAGTTGCTTTATCATCAGTTCTACCTAAAGTACTTGAACACCTTATTAAAATCCGTCTTGAGTGGATTGTGGAATCAAGGAATCTACTACCTAATTATCAGTTTGGCTTCCGTAAAGGTCTTAGTACCATGGACAGTGTTGCGGTGTTGGTAACCGATATCCGCCTTTCTCTGTCGCAGGGTGCGTCCACAGTAACATCTTTTCTCGACATAACTGCGGCATATGACAATGTCCTACTACCCATTCTCAGGCAAAAACTGCACCAGCTGAGACTTCCGGTCAGAATGATCCATTGCATATGTGCAATGCTTGTGTCTCGAACCCTAGTCCTAAGGATCTTGGGAGAGGTGTTCGACCAGAGAAAGACGTTCAGGGGCTTGCCACAGGGCTCTGTACTGAGTCCTCTATTGTACAACCTGTACACTGCAGATATGGGCTCATGTTTAAACAATGATTGCAGTATACTACAATACGCCGACGATCTGGCATTGTATGTAACCAGCCATTCCATCCAAGATGCAGCAACATCGCTCACAACCTCCCTTAATTCTCTGTGGCGGTGGCTATCATCCCACGGCCTTAGCCTCTCTGCACAGAAGAGCGCAGTCGTTGTCTTTACCGGAAAGAAGACTCTGCCACAGATTGATGTCAAAGTACAGCTGCAGGAAATTCCTCTTGTTAATAAATTTAAATTCCTCGGGGTATATTTAGATTCTAAGTTGACTGGCGTTCACCACATTAACCATCTAGCCTCGAAATGTGAACGAACTATTCCAATTTTAAAGGCCCTGGCCGGAGTTTGGTGGGGAGCCCATCCATACACCATGAAGCTAGTGTACAATGCCTTAGTGCGCAGCATATTGGACTATGGTGTTTTCCTACTGGTTCCATGCAATAAAGGCGCATTAACAACTCTGGATAGGATCCAATCTAGGTGTCTTAGAATTATTACTGGTTGCATGAAGTCATCCCCCATTAACGCATTACAGGCTGAATGCTCAGATCCACCTCTAAAATTAAGAAGACAATATTTTGCTTCATGCTTTGTTTTGAAATTTATTTGTAAATTGACCCACCCTCTTCTTCCAAAAATTACTGACTTAGACATAACTTGCAATACCTCTAAGTACTGGGCACATAAAGAAATTCCATTGATTCTGCAATCCTTTCGCTACTACTTTCCCTTTACGAATTTAACGGTAAAATTTGACAAACTTCCTCTTTTTTCATTTGAATACAGTATACTTAGTTTTAAGCCGAATGTGTTCTTGGATGTGGGAATTCCTAAGGGATCTGCCTCGGCTGTTTCCACCTTTAACGCTTACGTGGATGACCACTTGGTAGGGTTTGAGAGGTTTTTTACAGACGCATCCAAACTGTCAAGCGATAGTTACACTGGAGCTGCGGTGTACTACCAAAACTCCAAAATCATTTTGCAGTTTAAGTGCACAGAAGAGTCTTCTGTATTTACGGGCGAGTGTGTCGCGGTATTGGAGGCATGCCTATATGTTGAATCGCACAACATCTATAAGGCTGCTATATTTACTGATTCTCTTAGCTGTCTTAAAGCCCTGCTAAAAGATCCATTCCATAGCAAACTCCATAGCCCCTTGATCTTAGAAATCAAAAAAAGCCTCTTCAATTGCTCCAATAGTGACAAATTGGTCCAGTTGGTATGGGTTCCCAGCCATAGTGGCATTATGGGCAATGAGTGTGCAGACTCGTTACCCAGAAGTGCTGCTACTTCCTCAATGGCAGACCAGAAACATATGGTTCACCATCACTACGACCTCCTAAGACTGCCTCAAAGAGAGTTGAGGACATCCTGGCAGGCGGAATGGAACAGGTCCGCACAATTTAAAGGCCGGTACTATTTTTCAGTACAGCCACGCATTCCTCCGAAGCCTTGGTTTTTTAATTTTAAAAAGGTGTCCAAACAAGTTGTCTCCACCATATGTAGGCTTCGTATTGGCCACTGCAGCTCACCTGTCTTCTTGAATAAAATTCGGGTACGGGACTCGTCTCTATGCGAGTGTGGCCTGGATGAAGGCAACCTGGACCACATCTTCTTTAATTGTAGTAAAAATAATCCATCCTTAGACCTTTATTCATACCTAACTAAATTGAAAATCCCCCTCCCTATTAACTTTGCATCCCTACTTACCTTTTCTCCCCAAAACTTTTACAAGCCTTGATGTTTTTCATCCGCTGCAATGGCATCAAACTTTGACCTGTGTACCTAATTTAATGTTGTGATGTTTATTTGTGTTTGTCTACTAATTATCTCTTTATATATTACATACATACTTTATTTATTCGTATTTGTCTGTTTGTTTCAGTGTACTAACCACAATCAAAAGACCCATATGCAGTCCACCTGCTAATTTTGGAAAACTTAATGGTTGCAAATTCCTTTTCTCTTATGTATTTCTCTTAACCCACGTATTTCCATCGCACTTGACATTGGCAGAATTGTCGACATCGGCACAGTTTGCCATATAATAAGAAGAAGAAGAAGAAGAACTTTATTCAATGACAATCAAAAGCAATAACCGCTCGTTGACGGCTTGAGCGGCGTTGTTATATAAGCGACGATGACATAATGAGTAATGACATCACACTTAGCTGTTGCCAAAACATTAATATTTGGTTAATAAATAATGATGATAACTAGAAAACAGAAACAAATATTTTTTTTCAGTCTTGTATTGTTAGTATTTTATTTTCTAGACAATGTAATTTATAATAGGAATTTACTCAATTCGAGTGCACCATTAGCCACCACCAGGTCCGTGTGGTGACGGATTAAGAATAGACTGTCACCACCCCTATTCATCCCGTGGGTATCGTAAGAGCCGACTAAGGGAAAAAATTACGCAGAACAACAGCACTGCAGAGAGAAGGAAAACTTGACACAAACCCTATACCAACCCGTCTAGCCAGCGTGGTATAGTAGGCCAAAACCTCCTTTCTAAGGAAAGGCTTATGTCCAGCAGTGGACTATTAAAGGCTGTTGATGATGATGATGATGATTAGCCACCACGCAACTAGTAAGGATTAGAATTAACTGTTAATAATTGAGTTGCATTTATATGCGTAAATAAAAACTAAAATTCTGTATAGATTGTTGAATTGTTTTATTTCCCAAATAAAATCTACAACTACATTTTAAATGAAAATGTGCTAAAATTTCACTTTAAACATTTGCAATATATTAATTCTTACTACAACATAATAATATGTGTACTAAATTATCAATCCATTATTCTAAATACATTTAACTGAACTAATTGAAATAAGTTTATAAAATGCTTTTTACACTATAGCTACTTAATCTGTATTTCATTATTTAAAAGGTTTTTATTATAAGAAAATAAAAAAATAAAAATGAAATTAAATCTAGTATAGGCAAATACTGAAACATGACGTATATATTACGACATTACTGTTTACACACAGGGTTCGACATAATTGCCGGGAAACAGGCCTGTCACACCGTCCATAACTCCTTCCCACCATCCGTCGTCATTCTTCTTAAGCACATAGATAACTGAACTCTCTTGGAATGATAACTCGTCTTCTTTATCAGCGTAGTAATCGTATATCGCAACAACTGCAAAAAAAGCATTTTATTGTTTTAGTCTGCAACGTTTTTGCCACTTATAACTAGTGATTATTGAATCTAGAGCCGCGAAAATGGATCTTAAGTTTTGTTCACAGTTAAACCAATACGCGTAACCTTAACCGTATGTTTCTACTTTTTAACTAATTATTTAAATACGTTCATCACAAGATTTGAGGTTTGACCTCGTTATAATGATACCAGAATAGTAGTAGTTGCATATATTAGTAGGAGTAGTAGCTGTGGTACGTTATTAGCAGTTAAAAGGTAAATTAGGAAGTGTTTAACTAAGTATATAATCCGTCAGTGATAAAGTAACGATTACAGATATATTTTTAAATGCGGACTGCCGCAGATATGAATATCGGGCACATCACTCAACCAATTATACAAAAAATACCTTTTTCGATGTAGTTCTTAGGCACCCAACCAGGCAGATCCTCCTCATCAGGCACTATAGCAGGCACCGCACTAGTGTACTGAGTATTCATCTTATTCTGCAAAGTAAGTAAACATTACTCCAAAGAAAATGGCTATAGCTTTTAACGTACGATGTAAATAGTTTTACCGTTAGATGATGAGGTCTTCCAAAACCATCGTGCGCGAGTTCGTCGTCCATAGGTGGTGGCGGCAATGGCGGCGAGACAGAACCGCCGCGGATCGAACCTCCTCCGGCGGACGATGACGACGCACGCTGGAATATAAACTGAGCTAAGATTATAGTAATTATATTTTTATAAAAGTACAGTTTTTTTCCCAATTCAAAAACTGCACTTTGGAAATGCAACAGTTTTAAACAAAGGTTCTGGAATACTCTGTTAACGATATTTTGATTCGATTGAAAGAAAATATCGAATGGAAGTATTTACATAACCGGTTAATCACTACAGGTATGTTTTTGGCCCAATTTTAAACTTTATTCAAACAAAAGTTCGTTTCGCAGTGTCATCTTACAGTTGGGTCATCATTTAATAATAATATCTATTCCATATAAATTTCAATACCGGTTCCAACTGTATATTGAAATTAATTATTTTTTCTTTATTGACCAAAAAGTTTACAATTTATATTATTAAAATACTAAGCCACTCGCTTAAAACACGGGTTTTTATGCGAAAGATATACATTTTTCATAAAAACATGAGTGCACGCAAAAGAGGTATGGTATATTTATACATATATATAAATCACAAGTATAAAATAGTTACAAACCTGTCCTGGAAGACTGGAATGCTGGCTGTGTTCACCATCAGAACCGATCAATGGTGATGGAGGAGCTGAAAAAATTAAAATCAAAATATAAATATCAAACTATACAAGAAACTCATGGGCTTTTTATCTATACATATAAAATTACTTGCTCCGACTGATTCATCAACGCAGGGTCTGAACTGGTGAGGCTACATATTTGAAATTTTGGCAGCTGATGCCAAAAAAGATTTTCAGAAATTTCAGCCCAAGTGGGTAAAATAAGAGATGAATGTTAAATGGATGTTGGTCATTTGTAAAGTTCACAACAAGCTTCTAATTTACAAGTCTATATTGTCATCATCACGAACCTGGGTGTATGGTATTCAACTTTTCGGTAGTGCAAGTAACTCAAATATTATGATTTTTATTTTTTGTTAGACAACTCCCGCACTAGGAATAAATCCTGTGTCGCGGGGGACTTTACAAACATACATGAAACGGACACAAAGGACACCCAGGCTCAGAACAACAATTTGTGGATCACACAAAGTGTCGTCCCATGTGGGGATCGGACCCACAACACTCAGCGTAGTAGTAAGCGGCGTGGCGACCACTTAAACCACTACGCCACCCGTGCAGTCATTATTTTACAAAGAGTGTAGAATGCTATACTGAGAACGATAGCAAACGTCCCTTGGTTCATCACCAACTCTGAAACTGTGTCCGTATGGATTGAGAAGTCATTTCAGATTTTAAACAGCAACTCCCCCTTATTTAGTAGGTGAGCAAATAATTTTGTAGGACAAATTATGAAATTTGTAGTAAGATATATCCAAAGTTACATCAATGTTAAGTGGCTCCTCAATCTAAACATTTTAATTGAGGAGCCACCGGGAACATAGTAAGTATTTACTTAATGAATATTTTTGAAATTCTTGTATCATTTAGTAGTAATTGTGTTTAGTGCCTACTAAAAACCTGAATCCAGTACTGTTGATATTCAAGAATATACAATACTTTCAATGTGGCTCCTCAATCTATATTTAAAAGCGCGAATTGCCATGAAATTCATCATCATCATCATCATCAACAGCCTTTAATAGTCCACTGCTGGACATAAGCCTCTCCTTAGAAAGGTCAAATTATTATTATTATTAAATTATTATTGCCATGAAATTAATAGGTCTAAATTTATATTCCACTCCAAAAATATTTAGTAGCAAATGTGTTTGAATTTGTAGCATCAGGAGAAAGTAGTAAAACTGAGTGGTGGTTTAAGTAAATAAACGCATTTTATTTGGCTCCTCAATCCTGACGTTCTGCATTAAAAATAATCGACTGTAAGTACCTGAGTCACAACAAAAACAAAAACCAGAGACACTAACATTTAGTATAAATGTCTACTAAATAAATATGTACAGATCAACGTTGTATATATTCGGTATTTGAAAAATAAATTACTTTTCGATATTCCTTATGAATTTACTATTTAGGGTGACCTTGTCAAATCGCAAGGACTACTTTTTAAATTTAATTTTCAGCAAATGGATAATTGTCGAAATAACGGAATGTACGTAAATTCTTCAGTTACAAATATTTCTTAATCAATATCGACATAAGTTACACAATGAATTAGTATTGGTTGATAGGTGCTTTGGCCAATTTTACATTGAGAATCATAGTCGTCGAAACAAAACATCTCATTCTTTGTTAAATAGTGACATGTATAGTTGTCCCTTGCATACATTCTATAACACCTATTATTATACTACCTGCTACCACCTATTTTTGCCGCGATTTGTATCAGAAATGATAATTAAATATAAAAGTAATAATTCACTACGTCTACAATTACTATTTGTCAGTGTTGAGATACTGACTCTCGTGTCGTGGTGTATAGCGATAGCGAACTAAATAAATATTATTGAGGGTAGGTATGTAACCACATTAATTTGCAAATAATAATTAGATGAAATAGCTAATAACTTCGTAGATACTATACTTCTTTATGACAGGATTTTACGCACATTTAGTATAAATTTATAGAAAATATTGATGTTTTATGTTCCAAATTTCGTCACAAGTATAGTATCTTATAACTCTGCGTCATAAAAGTTCGCGCGGGTAGCGCAGCAAAATGATATTTTAGGTATCAGAGGGGTAATTTCTGCGCATCGGAAAGCGACGGGCGGGCACTTGACAAGGCACGGGACAAGGTCAGTAGCGCATCTCGCTCTAACACGTTAAGTGACTTATCTGCTTTGCTCTAATTTACTGTTGTGAACATAATTGTTAAAAAAAAACTGTTAATATTGTTATTTGCTTTGTTTATATTTTATCTTGTTCCATTGAAGTATAAAGATCTCGCATGGGTTATTATCTATTAAAAAAAAGCACTCACGTGGCATACTGGAATGTAAATCTTGTTGTGAATAGTTAGTGGCAGACTGGTGCTGATTTGGATGCACCATTCCAACCTGAAAAATTGAAAATTCGAATGTTCTTTCTTTTACATACCATAAACATTTCCGAATATTTTTTCAGATATTTGATGGCCTTTGATCTTCTGTCTATATAGCCTAACATAATATCCACTGATATTTGGGGACACACTCATGCAACTTCTATTCGTCTTAATCCTTACTGGGCACTCAATCACAAAAAAGTGGATTTCTTATACAGGTTTATATGATCAGGATCTGTTTTTAATGTTTCAAACATTGGATAAACTACATTTAAAAAGTGATTAAATATGACATCAATACTCAAGTAATAACTATGGCAATTACTTTTTTTTTTTTTTGGTTATTAAACAACTTTAAAAAGAAGAAATCCCTATTGTAAGTCTCATTATTTTACAATAAATATAAAATAATCATATGTAATGTAATTATGTCACGATTTTTCTAGATTATTTAAATAATTTTTTACTTACCTGAGGCTGAGCTACTGGCAAAGTGGAGTATCCTGGTGGTCGCCGAGGGTAGTTGGGCGCGTAGTGTGAGGGCACCTGAGGTGGAGCTACAGCAGGTGGCGTACGGTATTCTCGAGATGATTTACCTTCACAAAAAGGTAATTATTGTATTATGTATTATTATGTGTGTAAAAAGTCTGTTTACATAAATTAATAATTACATCACATGCCACAGTTTAAAACAATTTTCATTACAACAGAATATCAGTCAGAGCTATTATTGAATTGAGTATTTCATCATCAGCCTATTGCAGTCCACTGCTGAACGAAGGCCTCCCCCCAGAGGCGCTAACCATCTCGATTTTGGGCATTCCTCATCCACCCTTCTAGCACCAAATTAAGTGTTATTATAAAATAATACTCAGGATTAAGATTGGGTAATGCAATAATCTAAGGAGTGGCCTATGTCCAGCAGTGAACTGTAACAGGTTGTTGATAAATGCAATGCAATAATGGATATCTATAAAATAAGAACTAATAAGTAAGAATATTACCCAAGGTGCCTCTTCCCAATGTTCCTGTATTAGCTGCCGAAGCGGCACGAACAGCAGCAGGTGGTGTCGGTGGTTTCGTAGTTGGCGCAGGTAGAGTAGCAGCATTTGCAGGTGGTCCAGAGCGTCGACCTCTAGGGGTGCCACTTGCAGCTCCATTCCAGCGTGCGCCATGCCCGATTTCATCCAAAGCTGATGAAAATACACTTAGTCAATCAGCAATTTTCTTAATGACAAAATTATCTTGTTTAGTTTTGTTTTGTACAATTAAATGATTAAGGTTTGCTAGATTTTGAAGGGGATACTTTGTCATACATAGTTTAAATTGAAAAAAAATTAAAAGAGTATAAACAATATTTTAAAACTAACAAACTAACTTTATTCTACAATATGTAATACCTGTATAATCAATGCTTTTCCTGACATATTTTATAGGTTTTTCTGGGTTTGCTGGTGCAATAATTTTGTACTGCCTGTTTGTCACTTTGTTTGCTGTCAGCACACCAATCTCTCTTCGTGCCACCTTCTCTTTATGAATAGCGACAGTTTGAGCGATATGGTTCATTTGGCCTTCCATTTCAGCCAACTGCATTGTCTGTAGTTCGAGCAGCTGGAGGAAGTTATAAGCCAAAGTATTAATTTGATATGCCACACTAGCCAATGATTGTGTAGTATAGTTTTTAGTGCTCTCCAATGCTAGTCTTTTGTTTTCAGACTGAAAGTAATTCGCTTCACAGTAGTCAGCCACACGCTCAAGATTCGTGTGGGAATCTGTTAAATGACTGCGCCCTTCAGGGATTTCCGTTTGTAGTAACGCTGCTAATTCAGCCATTTTGAAGTAACTGAAAATAGTGTATAGTTAAAAAGTGTCACGCTTTGTTTCTAATCAATGAGAACTTACAATTTTAAATATAAATTAAGACTATCATGATGTGTTTATGTCATACATTACTTAAAGTATCAGGTGCGTTAGGCAATACTACAAGTACTGCAACACCCACAGGAAATCAAAGTTTAGAGTTTGATACTAACCTTGATTTAACTATCTAATACAATTAACAATTTAGCACATTATCTGATTCGTATGGACATATAATTGCATAAAATCATATCAAAAGTATTTAAAAAACTGTAAATTGAAATTTAGGGTGGAACACTATACACTTAAATACACTATCTTTGACAATTTGACATTCATAAATACCAGGCGTTAGGGTTGTGGTCAAAAATGATTAATCTATCGTGTTGTCGATAAATTTATCATTCTTAACGTTACTCGATTTTCTTATTACGTAATTAATATTTAAAATACATATATATATACATATTTACACCGTTACATACAAGATAAGTGTGTTGATTGTGTAAGACCCTTATTTTATTATATGTATTATTTCAGTAAAATCTAGATATTGCCCTTTATCCTGTTATGGTACCAAATTTACCAGATTTATAAAAGCAGATACCAAATTTATAAAAGCATCATTATGGATTTACAATATTTATTAAAGTTAGTTTTAAGCATGTAACTAATGCAAATGCATATAAGTAAAAAAGTGGGAGAATTAGATTTATTTTTCTTGAATGGTTAATATTCTTTATTTAATCCCGAAACAATTTCTTGGTTACAATATTTTAGATTGAAATTTTTCTAGTACCCTCCATCCCATGTATTATCAATGCGCGATTTATAATGCAATAATTAAGTTAAGAGCTTAGACTATAGAAAGAATGAAAAAGAGTTTAATATTAAATAAGTAAAACCTTTACCTAAGTTGTTCGTTACTAAATCATTAAATCTATAACAAAAGCTTCACAAACTCCTCTTTCAAATTGTTTCCAAACAATTTTGTAATACAATGCTGCTTTCCGTTCCAATTGGTTGGCATTGGTGCTTCCAGCTATTTAACAAGGCGGGAGCGACAGACGTTTAAGATTTCTCTTTTGTAGTTATGTTGTTTCTCTATTTGAGTAAAGGCTACAGTAAAGTCGCAAATGGGTTTAGCTTCTGAAACTACTTTCTTAACTGTGGACTTTGCTAGATATTATGGAGGGTAGAGGTGAGAGGAGAGGAGAGAGGAGAACGCTCATATGGGGGACAGCTGAAAGTGTCCAGCTCTAAACAGTAAATAATAGTTCTAAAACAGACTAGAATATAAATACTATATTTACTGTTAAATAGCGTCTACCTAGCAACCCTAACCTACGTACGCAAAAGTCGAATGAAAATCAGTTTACTGTGATTTTGTTCCATATCTACTTAATATTAGATATAAACCTAACGCTACGCTATGAAATAGTTAACTAGTTAACACTGTTACTCAGTAACCAAGACGTTATTCTTAGAGGCTGCGAAGAAAAAGTTAGTTTTATAAAAATTACGCAGCATTAAACGTCTTTTGCTTGACTTAGTTTGAGGACTGAGTCACTTTGTAACAAGTGTACAACTTCTTTATTCTTATAATTGCCTGTCAGCAGAAATTATGTTGGATGGAAACTTAGCACCTTTGGCACGACAATGAGCGGTTTTATGTTTTAGCCGGCCAGCATTTTATAACTAAACTTTATCATTTCAATTTACGGAGTTAGCAAACATTAGCAAACAAGACATTGGTAATTATGTAAAATTTATTTGCCTAGTCGTAGCCTTACAACATAAAAAGTTTCGATCAAGCAAAATGCGCTTTCGCGAGAGGTATAGATGTAACTAAAATATCCTATTTATTTTAATAACTTTCATCTACATAGTTTTTGGGCCCATAAGAAGTTAATCTAAATTAAGATGCAAACTAAGTAGCTCCATTAAAATTTTATTGAAATGTTGCTAGTTATTTAAAAAATTATATCTAAACATGTTGAAAATACTAAAACATTAACAAATGCTCTATTTCATTTTACATAGGTACAATGGTACATACAGGAATTATTTTTTCAAATCAAAATAAGTTTATGGTTAGTTCAGTTCAATGAAAAATTACATTTATTGAACTAAGTACAAGATTTTTTTATTATAATTCATTGTCCACAAGCTTTAAGGTCTTACATATACTACAACTGAAAATATTTTTGTCATACACACACTTTAGTCTCTAAGTTCACTAAAAGAATGTGCTAGCATAATTTAATTTCTAAATTTAATTTTTGTGTAATTTACATAATGACTCTGTCATGATAATCTATAATGAAGTATATGAATGGAAATAATTTAATTATAAAAAATACTAGTGTAACTTATTAAGTAATTATAATTAGACAAATTTATAAGAAAATGTGTATAAAAAGATGCAATGTTCAACTACTTATCAAAATGATTCTGAATGAAATAAAGAATAACAGATTTCCTGAAAACTACAGTTATGTTACCATGAAAATGGATTCTTAAAATAATAACTTCATGTTGTCAATAATACATCCCAATTAATTTCATTGTTATATACTTCCTGTTCTAACCACAATTCATAATTTTCTTTGAATTCATCGTCAAGGTCTATATTTGCTTCTAATATGCTATTAATATCAGTTTCAAGTGGTGTTAATTCAATTTCTTGATCACCACCAGTACCATATCTTCTGTGATTGAAGCGGTCTACACTGACCCTTAGAGCACATTCCTCATCTTGAAAATCCCAAGGTCTGGCATCGACATCATTTCCAAATGCCCAGTCATCGTTTAACCTGTGCCGAACTTTAGAGTATATAGCACTGATTGTTTTCATATTTGTTTTTCTCCATTGGCGTCCCAAATACTTTGTCTGCATCTTTAGTAACTTTAAAACATAAAATTGCATTAATGCATGCCTGACTTTGAGTGTGCGTTTCAAGATGGGTGCACTTTTAAAAACAACAAGCATCATTATCCTTGCATTTTTCCATTTTGTCAACTTGTTCAGAATCCGTAACAAGTTTATGCATGAAAACACATTTCTCCAAGAGTATGGAACTGATGAATCACCAATATCCAAGCATTCCTTTGTCAGTTCAGGTTGTTCTCCTATAACACAGGCTGGAAAGTCAAACATTGGAATTGTGTTTTTTGCACCTACATAAGACAAAATGTTCTGGTTAAAAAATTTAAGGACTAAAGGCATGCAGTTGGCATAAACCAGATGCTGTGACATAAATTCAAACTGATAAACATGATTTAACTTGAAATGTTTCAAGAGTAACATCAGTATTGCAGTAACGGCTTTTACTATTATTTCTTTATGTCTGTTTACATCAATACCGAGTTTCAAAGATTGAAGAACTGTCATAGGCATCTCTTCCGGTAGTAAGTCTGCCATGATATTAATAGAATAAGTTTTAGCTGTAGAAGTAGGTGCTGCTGCTAATAGTATTTTCAATAAAGCTATCATGTACTGTGGTAGATTTGGAAGCATGGCTCTGTATAAGATTTCAGCTTCAGTTTCTTCAACTTCTCTTTCACCCTTTGTGAGTGGGCTCCTAGCAATTTCTATTTCTCTTTCTGCCTGGATTTCAGAAAGGCTAGTGTACATATGTTTTTTTAATATATCAATTCCTTCATGTATGGGCTGAGGTAATCCAGCAATAGTTTGCCTATCTCCAGGCAGAGAATATCCAACAAATTTTATTCGGACATTTTCGAGAAACATGTCAATATCTTTCTGTCGTACTTTAGATTGCCATGGTAAACTCCTGGGTAATGGTGGAGGTGGGGGAGGGCTATCAAACTGCTTGAAATACATGTAATATGGACAATTAGGGTTGTTTTCTGCTTGTGCACCATCACTGGGTATAGATTGAAACTCCATAGAATAATCCTCTGATCCATTACCTGTATCTTCTTTGTCAACATAAATTTGTTCATCTGATTCATCTAAAGAGGTTTGTTTCATGAATGTCTGTCTGCGAAGAGCTCTTTCATTTTCTTTGAGTTTTCTTTGACCAGGATTTTGATTTTCTAACATGTCAGCTGCACTTGGAGGGGGAGAGCTGGCTCTCATGCCTTTTATTATCTCTATAGTATCTTCTGATAAAGGTGTAAGTCCAGCCTGTTCACGAAGCTTAGATTTTCTTTCTTTTAACTCCTTTGAGCCCCCTAAGTAGACTAGTAATACTTTCCATAATAATAAAAGAACTTTTTTCATTGGAAAGTGAGGTGTTGTTCCTGCGCAAAGATGTGTTACCATACTTAGAAGTTTAACAGGCAACAATTCTTCACCAAATGGGGTGCCAAGTTCTTCTTTAAAGTTTTTGACTAAATGAGAATATTCAGATTCATTATTATCTTTTTCAGTTCTCATGTATTCTGTAATAAGATAGAGAACTGACAAAATAACTCGCAAGTTTATAGAGTCAGCAAGAGATTCTGCAAGTTTTCTGGATGCTATTGCAGAACTACTCCTAACAATTTCGAGATTCAGTAATTCAACAAATGCGGAAAAGGTGCCCATGTCATATAACATCATAACGTTAATACGGGCCCAGTGTGCCTGCTCAGCGTCTGATTGCATCTCCGCCCAACAACCCTGAGCCAAGTATAGTATACAACGAGTAGCGCGCATACGTATTTCACTAACAGCTACGTCTAAATGCTCTAATAATTTCATAATTACAGTGCGCTGTTGTTTATTTGTCAATCTTTGCCAACTGGGTGGATAGTTGAATTCCTCCATTATATCTTCAAAAGCCTTAACATTAAGTTGATACTCTGGATGTTCTGTGTAGCTATATAATTCTGAAATTTCGTTGGCTTGAGTATCACAATCATCGTAAACAAAGTCGAGTTCAGGGCTTTCCATATCGTTAACACAGTCCGCTTCTTCCATGGGGCGGCGAACATCAGGTATTTTGGCCCCTGCACGGCGACCATTGCCGTTGGTGCCCATTTTTAATAATTTTTGAAACTATGTGTAATATACTGTGTGATTTCACATTTCAGAACAATATTACGTATAATAATAAATATATTTTTCGTAAAAAAAGATCTTCAAAACGACTTCGTTCCGAGTGGCAGTCGACAGCCACAGATAATACAAGCCGCTGTCGAATTTCGATTTGTATGTTTTTTCATTTGCACAACTCAAGTCGCGCTTTGTATCTAAAGTAGAATGTTTTTTAAAGTATACTTTATTAGCGGAATGTTAAATAAGACACAAAAAAAAATACCAACTTAAAACAATAGCATGAAAATAACTAATTTTTGGTCAATATAACTAATTTTTGTTTTGTAACCCTAATCTAGACTACTTGACCAGGGAATCGATCGATTTGTAAGAGAGTTATGAGACAAAAGATTGATGAGAAATGTTTATTAAACCCGATTTGATTAGAATAATTTATTAAAAAAATCTAAGTTTACATTTTTTTTATCATTTATAAGTCTAAAGTAACTGATAAAAAATTAAATTTGCTATTGGAGATGTAAAAGTAATTTGATAGTATCAATCATAGTATCACTATAGCAACAAAAAGTATCGGACAATGTTATTAGTAGATAGTTAGTATTTGTATATTTTTCTGTACATGCTTCAGTACACGGTTCATGCTTTTAGTAATCAAAGAAATTCGTTGATATTACCTAATTGCTTATATCACGATTATTTATTCCTTTCTTTCTCATACTGGGGACACTGAAAGTCTTCTCCTGTATATGTATACTCATGCTAACCGAAATAAGCGTCTGTCGTATTTACATTGGTAACATTTTTTTGGTTGAAACCACTTTGGCGCCTTTTAAAGTTGGACGGAGCTACTTGTTTAATTGGTCGAAACCATTTTTTTACATGTAGGGTCACATGGTCAACAGTGGATCACCTGTTTTTTACATGATTGGAAATTTGCAGATCCATGGAGAATATAATCAAGTTTCACAGTGTTTAACTTACTAACTTATCCATGACTAAGCAAAAAAAGAAAAATTATGATTTTCCTTTTTTTGGCTTAATCTTAAAGGCTAGGTACACATTGAATCACCTAGTGGTACACAGTGGAATCAGGAGAATTCAAAGGCACATTAAGGTCAAAATGAAAAGAAATTTGAGTATAATTACTCCTTTTATTTAAAAAAGTAACAAAAACGTTTTCTCTAGTCTCTCAAACAGTCAATGCCTGCCATTTCTGTTTGAGGCCAAGTGGGCGGCATATTGATGTTGTTCTGAACCGCAATTTGCTATGCCACATGTCTGCAATTTTTAGTTGATAGATCATAAAAGTTTTCAATAACGTTTGTTCATATGAAAATATTTCATTTGTGGTCGCAACAATATGATCGCTTTCTTTCATAATGTACGTATGCAAAGTTGTGTAAGCAGAGGCAGATTAAGTAGCATGAGCGCCCTAGGCAAGCATCTCATCGGCGACCCCTTAAGTTTAGTTGTTTCATTTCTTTACTAGAACTTTTATTTTTTTACGTGTGGCTACATGGTTACATAGGCTGCCACCTCACCGGAGTTTGCGGTGAGGTGAGCACTGCTTCTGAAATAGGAGGGATCCCATAACATCTTTTATTAAGACGTCCGGGCCTTTCTTTGTTTTGATGGCAGATAGCCTCACATTTCACCCCTGGGCCTAGGTACACTTATGCTGGATGTAAGTCATTTAGCGACCTCCGCCGCCTAAGCCACCTGCAGCATTTTGCCCTTTTCCCGGCCTGTCGGACCGAAAAAGTTCTAAGCCTCTTCAGGTCCTGCTCCACCCTCTGATGTGGCTGTGTTCCACGCGTCATTGCTCCGTACCATGGCCGCAATCACGGTACCAAGCTAGAGAGAATCTTCACTCCGATAGCCGTCACGAGGCCACGCCTCTGCTTCACCGTCGTAGCCGATTTTCGACAGGAGTCGCCCTAACACCGATGCCTGCGGAACACCGCACGACATTTCACGCTTACCGAGACCGGTCCTACTTTGATAGAGGACGGCTCCTGACTCCTCCTAGCGTCTGCCTTTTAAAAGCGCGGGCACTACCTTGGGACTTAAACTCTCATTAAGAAGACTCGTGGCCTTCGTGGCCAGTGAAGGGAAAAACCGTTCCACCTAAGACCACACTCAGGGAGGCATAAGGCGCTGGCAGTTCTAACTGCACTGCAGTAGCGCCAGGCGCTTCTCAGTTCACTCCTAGCGATCGACTGCTGGTAACTCCTTAAGCGGACTCCCTAAGGAAAGGGTCCCGTGCTGCCACCCCGCGAACTAGACGATGATCAGCCAGACCGCCTCAACGGCGCCAAAGGCAGTACGTGGAGCCTCCAGCCGGAAAACCAACGAGACATCGGTGCTCGGCAAGCGGCCTTTAACCACTCATTTCCCCCTCTAAATCCCACGGCAGAGATCCACCAGTACTCTCTGAGGGTTAGTACTATCAGAGCGCGCCTTATTCTGGGCAATCAGAGCTTCCGCCCACACCTACTATTACTACAACTAATAGAGTAATCTGCACTAGAGCTGCGTTTTTGTGCACACGCACTAGCCTTAATCTTCGTAGGTGAAAAATGAAAGCAAAGCAGTAGTGGTAATTACGTAATATAAATCCTAGATAACCTTAAGCTAAATCCCACGGCAGAGATCCACCAGTACTCTTTGAGGGTTAGTACTATCAGAGCGCGCCTTATTCTAGACAATCAGGGCTTCCGCCCACACCTACTATTACTACAACTAATAGAGTAATCTGCACTAGAGCTGCGTTTTATGCACACGCACTAGCCTTAATCTTCGTAGGTGAAAAATGAAAGCAAAGAAGTAGTGGTAATTACGTAATATAAATCCTAGATAACATCCTAGATAACAATCCGAGATAGATAAGCATCTCTCTACAATTAAGGAATTGTTTAGTTTTTTTGTGTAAGTATGGGCTATTCTATTCTTATACTATATACTATACTACATATACGTTCGTACGTATACTACACAAAAATAAAATTTGCCCATATCTTTTTATCGTGTTGACGCCCTAGACCTCAGTATCTGGTATAAATTTCAACTTGCTAGGTCTACCCGTTTCTGAGAAAATCGGTGTTGACACACGGACAGACGGACAGACGGACAAGAAAGTGATCTTATAAGGGTTCCTTTTTTACCCTTTGAGGTACGGAACCCTAAAAAAGAGGAAATTGGTAAGCATCCATTTTCACTACCTTTTTTTTTTTTTTTTTCTTTTTTTTTTCCGTGCGGAAATCCCCTCGGATACCACCTGTAGGTGGCATGTCGGACTCGAACCGACTAAAACCGCACGCCTTCGCCGGGTACTAATAGCCGGGGAACCAGGTATACCCTAGAAAGGAAGTCCCTGGTGCCCCGACATACCTCGGGTCATCAACAGACAAGTAGACGACCCCCCCCCGTGTGGGAACCCCATGTTCCCTGTGCTCCCTGGAAGCGAGCGCGCTTCGCAACGCGCTCGCCGCCACCCCGGCCTGCTTCTGCTAGGGTGACAGATGGCCTCACCTGTCACCCCCAGGCCTGCGCTTATGGAGGACGGAGGTCGTTCTGCGACCTCCGGCGCCTGAGTCGCCTGCGGTGCCTGGCCCGTGCCCGGGCCTGGCGGGCCGGGAGAGTTCTAAACCTCTCCCGGTCCCGCTCCGCCGTCTCCTTCGCGAGCATAACTTGCTCGCAGAAGGAGACGGCAGAGTTCCACGCACTCTCGCTCCGCACGATAGCCTATCGAGCGAGAGAACTCCCACTCCGATGGCCGCCACGAGGTCTCGCCTCTGCTCAACCCACGCCAGGCACTCTGCCAGCGTGTGGAAAGCCGTGTCCACGGTCTGGCCATCGCAGTGGTGGCACTCAGGCGTTGGCTCCTTGCGGATCAGACACAGGTGATCTCCGAAACATCCCTTTCCCAGTGATCACCTGCGTCAATCGGTATGAGAGGGTCCCGTGACGCCTCTCGAGCCAATCCTCCATAACGGGTCTTACCGCCGCGATGACGGCGTGCCCGGCGCTCGGTTGCCGGAGTCGTTCCCTCCACTCCATTTTCACTACCTAGGTGTTTCGAAAAGCATTAAATTTGCTTAAAAAAATATTGTAAAATATTGCGGTTTTTATTATTTGGATTTATATTACGATAGTAAAAAAAGCAGTTTTTCCTTATTTCTTTGACAAGATAAAACCGATTTGTATTCAATAATGTTTTGTTTCTTTATGGCTAACTTTTATACAAAGTTTGCATTTTTAAGAACATTCTGTGAAGAAAATTACCAACGGATGGGCAATGATAGAAAGGGGCTAGAGCCTAGTATATGGTAGAAGAATGCATACACTTTCACACGCACATCTTCGATATTATTAAATACGGCCAGTGCAACGAAAGCCAATTCTCGTCGTAAAAGTTTGATCAAAATTCAGTTCCAGTCAACTCTCGATCTCGCAACTGTAATAAAAGGTATTTTCGTAGTAAAATAGTAAAGTATTACTAAGATACAATACGATTTAATCACATTACAGTCAACGTTGGATGTTTAATACTTTCCTACGTAAAATACCTTTTATCAGGTTGTGAGATCGAGAGATGATCGAAACTAATTTTTGACCGAACTTTTATTGTGATAATTGACCTTGGTCGAAACGTCAGGCATTTCAAAGGTATGCACTTAATACCTATCGTTAGCGCGTTCATTCCTTGGTCGAATGTGTATTCAAACAACACAAGTACACCCCATCTTATTAACTAAACTGTTTAACTCTGTTTACCCACTGAGGATGAAAAGCTTTCTAATGGTGCGGCAGCAGTATGGTTTGTTCTCACGTCAAACGTCTCCGATATGACATCTAACCATTTGTAATATAACAATGGATCCTTTTACCACTGAGAGGTATTTAAGAGCAGCGGGGGGTGAAACAGGGTGTTGCGTAACATTTAAGTACGAGAGGAGAGATTTAGAGTTTTCATATTCTGTGTTTTTTTTTTTAATTTAGAGTAAAGACAGGTTTGTGGTTGAGGTGGTGAATAACCAAACCTCTCTCATTAATCATCAACTCTTCGAAGACCGTTCAAATTGACTTTCTTCTTTCCTCTGTCCTCTTTTTACCAGGCGTACCGTAGAGTACCAAAATACATCATCATTATATGTGCCTGTACCTAATAGTTTCCATTTGTTCTGTGGAACACGACGTCATAAACAAAATAGGACATTTTTTATAAAATGTCATTTAAGAATTTGGTAACACATATTCTCAGTCTGTTCTATGGTCGTAGACTCGGGTGAAGGGTTAGCATGTAATTCTATGGAATAAAAGGGAAGAAATTGTGTTGTTTACCTGGTCTGTATCTACAATTCGTCGTACAAAATATATAAAAATGAAAAAAAAAAGATAAAAGATAAACAATACTTACACGGTTATCAGTCAACCTTTCGACATCTTCTTCATCTTTAAATAGAGGTTTGCGTTGAGTTACACTTTATTACACCATTGAAAACATTATTTCTCGCTTCAAACCTATACGATTTTTTAGTTATTTTTAATAAAATATCATTTTTCAAGAAGAAATCACAAGAAATAATTGATGAAAGAAATTCAAAATGCTAAACTTTTTAAACAATATATGTTCTACTTTTAAAATCACAAGACAACGGCTAGGTTGAGTGTTTATTATATTTTCAGATTTATCATGCATGATACAGAAGAAAGACAATTGAAATCATTCTAAACAAAAGTAAGAAAAATATGAAAAATGGCCAACGTCCACCACTGGGCGATCTGTGGACATTAATACTATTTAGTAATAGGATCAATTTTTAACTGGCTTCCAAAGAATTCAGTCAGACGGAATTGTATAAGCTACTACCTCTTGCCAGCGACTTCGTTCTCGTGGTGGTCGACATCAGACAGCGTGGAGGTTAATTTCCAACCCCCATTCTGCACTCTTTGGAATGCAAAATTTTTAAAAATCCTTTCTTAGTGCACCCTTAGTGGACCCAGCGATTTCAGCTTTGCGTTGATCAATGAGTCAGTGAATCAATCTGTCAGTTTCTTCTTTTATATATGTAGTTTAGAGAGTACCTACATATTGAGTACAGTTATATGTAAGAGTATGAACGATAACATCTGAACATCATAGCTAGTCACCAAACGATTTTCCGCTTTATAACTCGAATAATATTTCTGTTCAACTTATTCCGTTTGTGTGACATTCTCTTTTCTCTTACACACCAAGTAACCTGTACAAAATGTGTCTCAGAATATTTTTACCCATTATTTTGGGTAATCTTGTGTCATCTAAAATGTTTGAAAGTGAACTAAATATCAATGATATTCTTCGGTCTGATTTGATGCCAACGTATTTCATGGAGGACAGTGAAAATCACTATTTGAACAACTCTGCGAGTACAAGTGTTACCCCGTCTTCGAATGGATCCATAGACGCTGCACTTTCAACACTTGCTTTTCACAGGTAAGACCTATTAAACATATATTGTGGTATTTCTAAATAATCTAATTATTAAAAAAAGAAACAAAAAACTCGACTGACTGAAAATGTATAGGTACTTAATTACTTAAACTTTACAAGCCAGCGTTTTTGTTTTATAATTTTCATATACTCAGTGTCATTTTTACAATGAAGACGAATCTAAGGATACCTCCCAAGCCACAATCCATCCAGCCGTTTAGGATATAGAGCGTGCCAAAGCAATATATATGTACATACGAGTACACTTGAAAAACATTAACCTCCTTTTGTCGCAGTAGTGTAAAAAAGTGATTTAAACATTGTTTTCTCTAAACTATTTGCAGAAAAATGATGAACGAGTATCATTGTCGTAATTACATCGCTGAACAAATTTTAGAAGACATGGGTAAGAGTGTGAAGCAGAACCGCATCGGGAAACCATTCGGCGACCTGCAACAGAGTAATGAGTTTATGCCCAGACAAGATGTAAGAAACAATGTAATGTTTGATGTTGGATCAGCCAATTATCAAGAATGGTTAGCCAAGTAAGAACGCCTTGAGTATTTTTACAAAATGTTACCACACTGTCACTATACATATTTATATATATTTATCATTTGTTACCTAGATATCTCATTTACTAGTAAGGCCTTTTTTTAAAAGAATTTATGGATTACAAGAGTTACAATTATAAAAAAGACTTTTAAATTTAAGCGGATACCTATGATATCTATAAAGCTCCACAGTTTGTATGTCAAGTTGATAAAAAATCAATAATAATTCCCATCGATTACAACTGCAACCTCGGTGAACCTACCTTACCACATTTCTACACCACCCAAAGGTTTTCCGGTAGAGAATGTCATGGGCATTAAGTACACCGATACAAAACTGCATAAAGATAAATATCGCATAAATATCGCAGTTGACGTGACAAAGAAGACCCAGAAACCTATTAAGCAGTGATTTGAGGCCATTAGCTCTTCAAACACTGTTGGTTGCATCTTGTGTAACTGATAAAAAAACTTTCCCAGTTATTTTTTAAAGATTGTATTTTTTTTTTGATATAGGCATTGTTACAATACATCAGGACCCTGATTCCTGTGGTAGGTTATTAACTTTCCTTTCAAGCAACTACATCTCTTTAAACGCTACGCCGTTTTTCTCATAAATTATATGTTTTTATTAAATATTCAGGGTAGCGGCTTTAAACGACGTGTACAATACAGCGGCTAGCTCAAATACGGTGATAACTAATATTTCAATGACGGGGGTTGCGCCACAAGTGCCGGCACCGACGCTGCAGACAAGAGAAGGTTATGAAGTTTATGAAGGAGGTGAGGGAATGTCTAGTTACGCAAACCCTGGCGGCACATCGGGCCATGACACTGATAAATACGGTAATAATAATAACCTCACACATATCACACACGACCGTCTGATCCTAAGCTAGACAGAACAAATGAACGTGCTCATCACGCAATATTTGTCCTGAGTGGTAATCGAACCCACGACCTCTGGCTTAGCATTCACGATCACTAACCAGAAGACCAAGAGGCCAGTCAAATAAAGTTACAATTTCTCTCCATGTTATAATTTTAGGCACTAAAATTAACTTTCCTTATTAAACCTAATGAATTGTTGGCATGGAGGGTCTTAGGAAGCCATCATAAATATATTTATTATTACATTTAACAGTCATTTGCTTCTTTTTGCAGTTATTATTACATTTATATATTTAGTTTATGAATAATACAAGAAATGTGAAAGCGCATCGGTCTACTTAAGTACCAATAAATTATAGTTTTAAACAATATAAGAACACACACTTTTGTTACTAGCCGAACTAATAAATTATATTTTAAGAAAACAAAAATAAAACACGCTTTTGTAGCGAGCCAAACTTAATGGTAAAAAATTATGATATAATAAGCTGATGATGTTGATTACGTAAATCGCATTCGCGGTTACGTAAATACATTTCATATCGATATTACCCCTATGAAATGAAATTCTTTAAATATTGTTCTATTTCTATAAAGATTGTTCTATTAAGAAATCTTATAAAGATTTAAAATAAGTTAACTCCCCGTTTCAATATACTCGTAGACCGAAAAATCTGTAACAAAACTTTTTTCCGACACTATAGCAAACGTCTACTAAAAAGCGAAAGGAAATTCGTTCCGACCGGGGATCCATAGACCCCTTATGCCGTTTTGTTTAATGTTTTAAAATTTCTTCGTATACATTATATTTCAGGTGGTGGTTATGAATACTCGATGCCTCCCCCACCGCCGCCATTATATCATCACTCGCCACCTCAGACACATGTTGTAGAGGAATATACGGTAGAACGAGAGAGCCATGGCAGCTTAGGAGTGGCAGATCTTTTCGATATATCGCTTACTGGCATCGCATTTCTGTCTTTTGGCATGTTTATACTACAAGTTTTAATGTGTATTACTATGGTAAGAATATATTAAAAAGTTATTATTAAGATATAGATTCAAAGTGCAATTTGGGGGCCTGTAGCTGTAGAGGAAATCGGTCTTGATTTGGAGCTGCCTCAAGTCATGGAAAGTGACCATCGCAGCCCATGAACGTCTGCAAATCAGGAGTCACAAACGCGACGCTGGTTCGCCTCGGTGTCCACGGCCTCACAGAAAACCGGTGCTAAGCAGTTCTTTTGTTGCTTTTCATCGAGGGATTGAGGTTATCGGAGCCCAAACCCTCTATCCCTGATTTCGGGCACCAACTTATTAAAAGGACATCCTTTTACCAAGTTTGTGCCCGTTTCTTCACTATCAGGCCATGGCCATAAAGGCATTTTTGAGTAGGAACAGCTATTTATTCATGTTCAGAACTTCTATGCAATTGACTATTTATTTTTTATTCCCAGCATCCTCAGCAAACACAAGTGGTTGTAGACAATGGAGGGGACACCGTGAACGTCGATGAAGTGTTTCGTTTTAAACGAGAATCGCAAGATGGTGGCACATCAGTTCCTGCAGTGAACAAGTTGGCTAAATATGCCCTTTTAGCGCTGAGACCACGATCGACTGAGTGTCTATATCGGGCTTTGTGTGTTGGGAATAAGCAGGCGAGACGTATGCGAGACAGCAACTGGTACTGGTTGCCTGTTTGGCAGTAAGTACTTTTTTTTACACTTATTGCTGATTTAAAAAAAAAAGCTATGATAACAAGCATACTGTTTAAATATGGAACAAGAACATTAAATAAAAACGGCGGTCTATGAACGGGGGTTCGGTACGAAGTTTTGGTAGACGTTTCCTATTCAGTCATTATGACTTATATTATAAAATGTCAAATCAATAGTTAAATTGAAAAACATATGATAATTTTTTTTAATATGTGTGAAATAAATTAAATACTGGATGATCTGGGTCAAGAAGTGTCGGAAAAAAATCTTGTCACACATTTTTCGGTCACACATCGGATCAGAGCGTGTAACGCGCGACAAAGAATTTCGTTTCAAAATTAATCAAATATTAACTATCGTAAGCACGAGCCTTATAATACTTACACTGATAGTTACTATGATAGTGTCTCCCTACAGGGTACTCCAGAAATCTGTGGTCATGAATTTATGGGTCGTACAGTAGACTTGTAATAGGATAGAGTTCTAATTTTAGGAAATAAAAGATTTTTGACGCCGTCTCGGGTACTAATAGCCGGGGAACCAGGTATACCCTAGAAAGGAAGTCCCTGGTGCCCCGACATACCTCGGGTCATCTACAGACGAGTAGAAGACCCCCCCCGTGCGGGAACCCCATGTTCCCTGTGCTCCCTGGAAGCGAGCGCGCTTCGCAACGCGCTCGCCGCCACCCCGGCCTGCTTCTGCTAGGGTGACGGATGGCCTCACCTGTCACCCCCAGGCCTGCGCTTATGGAGGACGGAGGTCGTTCTGCGACCTCCGGCGCCTGAGTCGCCTGCGGTACCTGGCCCGTTCCCGGGCCTGGCGGGCTGGGAGAGTTCTAAACCTCTCCCGGTCCCGCTCCGCCGTCTCCTTCGCGAGCATAACTTGCTCGCAGAAGGAGACGGCAGAGTTCCACGCACTCTCGCTCCGCACGATAGCCGCAATCAGGCTATCGAACGAGAGAACTCCCACTCCTCCGTCTCGCCTCTGCTCAACCCACGCCGGGCACTCTGCCAGCGTGTGGAGAGCCGTGTCCATGGTCTGGCCATCGCAGTGGTGGCACTCAGGCGTTGGCTCCTTGCGGACCAGACACAGGTGATCCCCGAAACATTCTTTCCCAGTGATCACCTGCGTCAGTCGGTATGAGAGGGTCCCGTGACGCCTCTCGAACCAATCCTCCATAACGGGTTATACCGCCGCGATAAAATAAAACCACCTGTTTATAACACTCTGTATCACAGGTATCTAGCTGTGTGTCTCTTATAAAGAGACTAGTTTAATAAATATGCGATGACAATTAACATAAGTTTATTAGCACTATTAACCATTATGTATGTATACCAGTGCGGGCGTGGCGTGGACACGCGGCCGAGCGCTCGGCGCCCTACGAGCTGCTGCCTTGGGCCTGGGCGGCGCCGACTGCGACACTCACTATCCACCTGTACATTGTACTAGCACGAATAATTAAAAAGAGTAACATCCATGAATGCACGCTTTTTAAATTAAATATACTGAGTTTTTTTTTTTTTTACTGAGTTTTATAGTTATTTTGTGTTATTGACGACTTCGCAGACAAAAGAAACTGTTTGTGTTGTTACAGATATATTGTTATATTTGTGTTTCATTAATTTTATAAATTTGATTTGATTTCTTTTATCATTATCACCATCATCAAGAATCTTTAACAGTACACTGCCGTGCATAGGGATCTCCTTAGAAAGATTATTTTGTCTTATATAAAGCTAACATGGTCCGTTCACTATCGCCTTTAACGCCTTTCCCCAGAACAACATCATAGCGACAGTGTCGAAATATTTCCTTCGAAAAGTTGTGTTTGAAATAAAACTTAAACAATTGTAGTTAACTCTTTAATTAATGAAATACTTACAAGCTAAATATTGCTTTTGAGATGAGTAATAATTTTATTACAATGCTTAAATAGATAGGTATCTAATTTATTTACAGTGCAAATTACAGTAAATTGCAATTATTCAATATGAATAAAAAAATCTACAGCTTACGTCATATTTATTAAGGTTATCATAACTTGAGACAATAAACCATAGTATGTACAAATGAGCTAGTAATTAAATTTAATACAATTCCGCAAAATTTGTAGTAAAATGTAAGAAACGGAAAAAAACTGTCAATATGAATATTGTCTGTTCTGTAGAACCGATTATATTTTGACACCTGCCACTAATTACTCAAGACACACTAATACCAGATTTGTATGAGGCCATAGAATCACTCCGGTCAAGCCAGGCCGAAGCATGGCTCTCCTTAGATTTTGTAAATATATTATTAGTATAGCTAAATGTGTATGCCGCAAGAGAATTAATTGAATTGGACTTGGTAGTGTTCTAGCATTTGAGTTGAGTCCAAGACTGTTATTTAACTAATAGAATGACCAAAAGCGTATAGTATAGCGCCAGATATTATATTGAGACCTTGAATAGCGAATACCAGCTCGTAAACTGTTATTATCAAATAACATACACTCACGTTTTCATCCCCGAAGGAGTAGTAGAGAGTGACTTATTAAATGCCCACATTTTGGTCTCACTAACGTAATAGGTACAAGCCTATAGCCGTACAACCGGGCACATTAATATTTAAAATTAAACAAACATACTTACATATTTATAAATTATAGATAAATTGCACCCAGACCCAGAAGAAATAATCTTACTCTTCACACAATATTTGTTCTTAGTTTTATTTTCATTGGCAATCAATACATTTTCAGGCTCCTGGTATACTCGTCTGCAAGGTTTTCATTTAATTAGGCATTCAAAATAAATAATAAAATCTCAGTTGTTCTTTAGTTCTTGTGGCTGAGTTCTTTGTGACAAAAAAATGTTTAATTTTCACGATTTATATTACAATCATCGACTTTTCTTTGTTTACACCATTTTATTTTTAACGCTTTCACGCTTTAGCTGGTTAAACGATTATAGAAATGGACATAGAATCTTTTTATTTTCCCAAGAGATAGGAATTTAATTTTAACACGGGTGACTTCGGGAAGAAGCTATTATAAAATACTTTCTAGTATTACCGTAAGTTTCGCTGGTTCTTGCAAAAGTTTAAAAATTTTAAGGATTTAGATCTAAAAATAAAAAATGTAATGTGATGACTCAGAGCAAAAATAAACATTTAACCTGCAATAGGCTGGTGTTATGAAAAATTAATTTTAAACACCATTAATGCCTTAAGGTGTGAGAAGGAAATAGTTCTACGTGTGTAATATTTGACACTTCTGATTTAGGCCGAATGACGTTTCAAGTGACAAAAATATCAAGTACCGGAATACTTGCTTCTTTTTATATTTACAATATTCTATTTTAAAATTTTTCATCCATGATGTCCACTTTTTATATCGACGTATTAAAAATTATAAGATTAGGCCTTAGGGAGTCTATCCTAAAAATATTTGGTTCATCGCTACTGGAATTTTTCAAGAATAAAAACCCATTTGTGGATAACTCCTTTAGAGTTTCAGTACATCTTTTACTTTTAATAAATAATCTTTCATTAAGTACTCGTGAGATATGTTTTTATTTGCATATTTACAATTGAAAAAATATGAAAGGTGTCCTTTTAATTATCTAAACATTAAGGAAATTTACCTTTAACAATTTTTTGCAAATTATATGTACTACCTTAACTAATAATTATCTTTAAAAACTGCAGATTAACAAGGTGCGTCTGAAGGCGATGGAAGTTTTATTTGCGAAACATATGTGTTAAGAGTGCGAGAATTCTTTTTCGCTATTGCGAAAGTCAGAAATACGGTCATCTGTTGCAATCAGGAGGCATTGGAACGAGAAATTTTGAAGAGCACAAAATAATCAAGCAGAATACAATGATTATTTTCAGGTAGCTTATGGTGCTGAGGACGGCAAAGTCACAGGCGTGAAAACACAACTGAGAGGTGTATACGCATAAGGGTTAAGTAAAGAGTACGTTGGTGGCGAATGACTGAAGATTTGCGCCGGGAATAATCCTTGCCGCTGAGCTATTTTCAATCGAGAAGTCAACTGTTTCTTCCATTTCGTTCGTCTATTTTGAAACCAAGTCTTTATCTGTACCTCAGTCAAGCCCAATGCTTTAGATAACTCCATTCTCTTCGATACGCTGAGATATTTGTCAATTTTGAATTCGGCCTCCAGCCGATCAAGTTGTTTGGCGCTGTAAGCTTGTCGAGGCTTTCGCTCTGGCCCAGCACGCCGGGGTCGCCTGTTAGTCTTGTCATCTATAACAAAAAGAGATTTGAAAGTTCAAGTGATTTGAATGAAGACTATTTTGTTATTTGAGCGTGAATATAAATTGCAAAATCATGGTTTTCGAATGTTAAAGTCCCTTTACGATATATACATACAAAGTAGCTGCTCTCGCTAAAACAAATAGCTCGTAAAGTTTTTTCGTACACTAATCGGAATTATCACGGGCTCTTGTTAAGTGGCTATAAACACAATCAGTATGTTTGAGTTGTGCCTGCGCAGACCTGACATCTCGCGTGTCAACATCGCATTGTGGTCGCTGTATACGATGGGCGTGCTAACCGACTGCTAACTATTTACGTAAGCGTTTTACGACTGTACTACATTTCAGGATATACATTCAGTTATAGAGAACTTATTATTGGCGTTTTATAGAGAATATAGAACCTTTTTTTTATACGCCCTGTAGGATTAAGCGTGTGCCTGTGTCTGTGTGCCTGGTATTTATATTTCCACTGATACGTTTGAACTACTGTAAGATAATACTACTCGGTTGTTAAAAGAATGTATAGAGTCGGTTACGACCATGGAAAACGACGACGAATTTTCATTTTGTGTTAAATATGTACATTTTTTATTCTCTTGTGTCTTAGACCCACGTATTTTAACACTAAGCTACTTAATAGTAGTTACCATAAAGTAAAATAATTTTATAATGAGAGATTTTATTTAAGCAAAATTATTTTAATATTTTACGTGGTAAGTTATGGTTGGTTTATATTCCTGTCATAACTTAGGAATATAAACCAATAGTATATAGTATATAAATTTCAATTGTTATCATATATTTTTTAGCTATACAAGCTATACAACATGAAATTTCAGAATTTACATAAAAATTAACAAAAAAAAGTTGACCACCACAATTTCTCAGTAAATGTTCCATAAAACGGTGGTCCAAACTGAGTTTCTGGATACAGTTCGATCACAAGAGAGGCAGCGTTAAACCGATGTTTAAACATGAGAGCTTTGTTGGTAATTATCGTCGCGGCAGCTGTTTGCCGACACCTCGGTGCGAAGTCGCGACCACCGACCGACGGCTGGCGACATTTCGACGAATGCGCCCTCGGCCTAAACGCGCGAACAGTACGCTATGTGTACCCAAGCTGTTGAAAGTTACAATTATACATGAGCTAAATTCGGTGTATTTGTAGTAGGCATGGGATAAAATCAGAATCACCTGTGATTAATCATATGATTTTAAAACTATTTCAGCACAACTGCGACTCATTAGCAACATCACTGTCACACATCTAAATCTAAAAAAAGATCAGTTTCATTGATTTTCATGCATTTTGTCTTTGACTATGATCAAATCTAAGTGGTATTTATCACAGGTGAAATCGCAGTGACCAAAACCAATCATTTCATCAAAGGATATGATTTAATAGTAGCAATAATTTCGGTGTCTAATTTGTAGATATAAATACAATGAATATATCGCGTTTCAGACTAAAAAGCAACAGAAATATATTTTAGCGTAGGTGCCAAAGAATATTTTCTCAAATAGATCGACGTCTGGGTGCTTTCATTTTTTTTAAATCTGGTAAAAATGTTGTGAACTTGTTGTATGAATGTAGGTTGTAGGTAGATTTTTATTTATTAACAAGAAATTAAGTTTTTTTTATTACGAATGCTTAAGTTGTCGATAAGACGTAAATACCAAACAATACTTTTACACTGAATTCAGTAATAAACAGGAATATTAATAAATAAAATATATGCAGAATAAATAAAACAAACACGACATAGTTAATTAATAAATATTACCTGTATGTGGTATAATAAAACTTTTAAAGTTTTTTTCAAATGCAACAATAATTAACTTATGTTTTAAAATCATTATTTATAATACAGTAACGATAAGTCTCGTAAAATGGATCGTACGCTTATTTTTTCATTAAGCTAGGGCGCACACAAACCTGAGTTATTTTTAACATGACAATATGAAATGTTGAATTTCATTTTAGTATCTACATTAAAGTATGACCTAATTTACCGCCAATTTTGACATACATTCATCATATCCAACAAAAAGTATAGTTGTATTCAATTTAAAATTAACGGTTTCTCAAATTGTTTAAATATTTATTTTGGATAGCTGGTAATAGTTCAATTTACATCTGCACGATTATTTCGAATAAATGCTTCAGTCACGACACGACAACTCGATGTTAGGTTTTGAAATATAATAAATAAGCAAAGAACAGTAAGATTTTTTTTTTAAATACTGCAATTATTTCACAATTATTGACGCAAAATTACAAGGAGCATAAAATATGTATGTTGTATTGGATAATACAACATACATATTTAGGAGGATTCCTAGCCTTTTTCTCAAACTAGGTAGGGATCGGCTTTAAGTCCACGCAGATACGACTGAATATTGATTTTCATCATTTGTGGAGTGAGTGTGCAGTTGTGGAGGCCATCAGACCTCCACAACATAAATACTAGGCGATATCGAAGTTCTGAGACTGTTGTCTGACTTTTTTCAGGGCTCCAGCTACCCGTAACGATTGATGTTTGTATGGCAACGGCTTAACGTGCCGTCGCATGAGTGTCATTGTGTTAAGAATGGTCACCCATCCATAGGCTGACCTGGATTGCTTAACTTTACCAGCTCGGTTATCACTTAGCCATGATCCCCTAAAAAAATGTATGTTGTATATTTTAATATAAACATTTTTGGATGATTTATTGCAATTTAAAAAAATGATCCTTTCATGGGCATCTATATTTAACGCATTTATTAGAATATAAAAAAGGTTTCAAAACGTTTAGCCTCCTTAAAACTGAATTGTGTAGTAGTTTTAGTTTTAGTTTTAGTACCTACAAAACAATATTTTATTTTGACAGATATAAATGTCTAGTTATAAAAGATTTAAGTAGATTTTTATCACAACAAAATTATTGACTCTTTTTTTTAAGAATCTTATGTTCAAATGAAAATAATGAACGTAAAAGAATTTCAAAATGTAAACGTATATGTGTCACATTCGGTTGACAAAGAAAGTTTGAACTTCGGGTAGACCCCTGGGCTATTCCCGGACATTGCACGCTCACACTAATTTTATAGCCACCGAAATTCCTTCTCGCTGCCGAGCGAGCCAATGTGACAAATTGTTGATAAGCAAACACAGTTTCTTTTGAATTCTTAAACAATTTACAGCTTCGAAATTCGATGAAATTCTAAATATGATTCATTAGGACCATAACATTAAGTTAACATGTCAAAATGCAAATTCTTGCAGTATTTTCTTCTATCAGTATCAGTATTATCTTTTTTACAGTATGGAGAAAAGCTCTTTTGGTTTTCTCTGAATATTCGCCTGTGCCTTGAAACCATATTTTATTCTTTCACTAAATTTAATTGGTTTACCCGACCACAAGTAATGTGCTTACCAATTCACAATATTTCATTTGTATTTTGTTTATACACCAGGACTTATACCAAATTTGTCACAAAAAAATGTTTTTTAGTTGTTTAATGCCTTGCCCTCCGCCGGTGTGAAGAGGTTGTACATTCCTTTCCCTCACTGTCTCGGCAATATATCAGATAAGGTATTGAAAAGAGATCTGCCGCCACAAAAGCATTTATTCTCATTATGTTACCGGCCTTTAGATGTCAGCAGGGTCACCCGGTTACTCTGGCAGTAATAATCTTCAGTCCAGCGGTAGACCCCATGATTTCGTCAAAATTAGACACTTAATGCGTTGATCACGAAACTTTGGGAGAAGTAGACATTGTTTCGCAAGTTTTAAACTTATATGAAATAAGTTTAAAGCTATAGGCCAAGAACTCAATTGCCTAATTTTTATTTATGACAATATAGATGAACTGTAGCTTAAATATTTTTTTTAGAAAAAGCTGGGTCCACCATCTTGGGGTCCCGGTTTTTCGGCATTAGGTTTTTATTCATTTAGAGAGGACAAAATTGAAAATTGTAGTGTTGAAGTAGTCTATAGGTGAAGATATGAAAAAGAATATTGTTAAAGAATCTTTGGATTGCAATTTTTATTAAAATTGTAAAGATTCTAAATTATTGATTCAGTTAACAAAGCTTGTCTTTTACTAAGTGTTGCTCTACCAGTAGATTATTTGTTATTTCTCTTGTTTTTGGATTCGCTTTCACTGGCAATTTGATTAGTGTTAGGTCTTACTCTTCTCTGGTTAGGAGAGGCACGTGGTACAAGTTGCAAGGAAGTCGGCTCCACCCGGCAGATCAGGCAAGTCTTTGTCGACGTTGAAGAATGCTTTGTATTTAGGTAGAACCTACGCTTTCTATGCCCAATATATTACCATGTATATCCACATGGTACTGTTGGTTGGTTGGTTGGGTTATATAAGTAGGAAGTAGGATTTACATTGCAATACTACTAGGACCATAAATATGAAGAGTCACATGTATTTTTGAAACTGAAGTTCACATGAAAATGCGGACTCGACTAGATGGTTACTATTTCTGGCGACTTGAAAATGAGCAAGTGAGAGGCGATGAATTAGTACTTGAAAATTAACTCTATAGAAATAAACCATGGGATTAGATTATGTTCATGTAGTAAACACCATCCTGTCTGCAAATAACATCTAAGTAGCCAAGATAATTAATTATTGCTAAAAGTACTTTTGAGGTTAGATTTAAAAACAAGGCCATTTCAAGAATCCATTTCTCTTTACTTACCATAATACGGTATAGATCAGATAATCACTAAAAAAGAAGAGAAGAAAAAAAGAGATAAAAAAAGAGAAAGAAATAAAAAAAAGTCTTGACAATATTTCGAAAACATATTTTTTTCGGCGTTATCGGCGTGACACACATACATAATAATTTTTTTATGACAGCAATCAATTAAATTAGTTTGTTACTTACCTGTTTAATTAATTGAATTACTGCTAATAACTAAGAAAGCTTAAAACAGTTATTGCAACTTTTGATTTTTGAGTCGTTTTATAAGCGAAATGAAACGTCACTAGGTACGTTCTGAATAGTAACTTATTTTTTAACGTTTATTTGAAAAAATATACTGTAAAAATAACGGATTTTTTTTAAACATATGACATATGTGGCCGTGCTCAAGTACGATTTGGCCGATGTTCTTTATAATCTTTAAATGCTGTGTAGGATTCACAGCGTGACGACACACTATCACCGGGTGTTGCCTGATCGTGCGATCAAATTTTTCCATGGGATAGCTAGCTTGGTTTACTGCACTTTAGATTAGTGCAGTCACAAAAATAATGGCCAACATTTGTTACAAGGTGGTAAAAAGTAACCTTCACTATGCTTTTTTGAGCGTCTGACCAAAGACAATAAAAGTGGCGTCTTACACTAAAAGTGGAGTCTTCTATTAAGGTTTTCTTCTATTAAGGTTATTAAAAATGCGTTGAAATTACAACCGTTATTTAGCAAAGACTACACGATAATTTATAACTTGTCCATCTTTATTGGTCTGGTTTTCATTCTTCTTCTTTTGGCGCAGACATGCGTAGCAGTCATTGCTCTATTTAACAATTTATGAGGAGTGTACATTATAACAATTATGTGAAAACAACGCGTTAGTGAGGGATGATTGCGTGAGTTATGCGTGCGAAGAATCACACCGGATGATACGTACACGCGATTATATCACGCATGCTACACATAATTTCATTACACGCTCCCCTTGGGTGCCGTGATAATTGATTTTTGCCAACATTTTAGCCCACTAACTATTAGGAGAGAATTGGAATATAAATGAAATAAAATAAATAAAGTTGTATTGGAAAATAAATATTTTAATTGAAATTGATCAACAGTCTTTACTAGTTTACTGCTGGACAAAGGCCTCTCCTTAGACGGGCACGCCGTCATCGCGGCGGTAAGACCCGTTATGGAGGATTGGCTCGAGAGGCGTCACGGGACCCTCTCATACCGACTGACGCAGGTGATCACTGGGAAAGGTGTTTCGGGGATCACCTGTGTCTGATCCGCAAGGAGCCAACGCCTGTGTGCCACCACTGCGATGGCCAGACCGTGGACACGGCTGTCCACACGCTGGCAGAGTGCACGGCGTGGGTTGAGTAGAGGCGAGACCTCGTGGCGGCCATCGGAGTGGGAGTTCTCTCGCTCGATAGCCTGATTGCGGCTATCGTGCGGAGCGAGAGTGCGTGGAACTCTGCCATCTCCTTCTGCGAGCAAGTTATGCTCGCGAAGGAGACGGCGGAGCGGGACCGGGAGAGGTTTAGAACTCTCCCGGCCCGCCAGGCCCGGGAACGGACTAGGTATCGCAGGCGACTCAGGCGCCGGAGGTCGCAGAACGACCTCCGTCCTCCATAAGCGCAGGCCTGGGGGTGACAGGTGAGGCCATCTGTCACCCTAGCAGAAGTAGGCCGGGGTGGCGGCGAGCGCGTTGCGAAGCGCGCTCGCTTCCAGGGAGCACAGGGAACATAGGGTTCCCATACGGGGGGGAGGGTCGTCTACTCGTCTGTAGATGACCCGAGGTATGTCGGGGCACCAGGGACTTCCTTTCTAGGGTATACCTGGTTCCCCGGCTATTAGTACCCGAGACGGCGTGCGGTTTTAGTCGGTTCGAGTCCGACATGCCACCGACAGGGGATTTCCTCACAGAAAAAAAAAAGGCCTCTCCTTAGAAAGGAGGTTTGAAATTGATATACGATAAGATAGTAAGAAGAAAGAGGTTACTAATGAATTTTGAAAGCATGAAAATGTGTGAAAATCATCTCTAGTAATGTTTAAATACGAAATCGAACACCTGCTTAAATTGTAGTAGGGCTTTATCAACCCATACATTTACTAAACAGACAGACTGATGATGGACTAGAAGTAGTTTCCTTTGGTCAAAAGAATAGCATAACAGTATGAAATTGAGTACGACATAAGATTAGAAAATATATTGAGTAATAAGTTATTTTTAGTTCCTATATACGAAAAAAGAACAAAACCTACAGAAAGTTACGTAGTACGTAAGTTATACGTACAATAAAAAGGGGCTGATTGGATTTGAACGTCGTATAGGATGTTTAGGAGACCTAGAAAAGAACCTTCGCCCTATAATTTTAATAAATATTCACACAACACAATGTAGTCCCAAACTAAGCAAAGCTTGTACTATGGGTACTAGACAACTAATATAAATACATACATACTTTTTTTGTAAATACACGCATATTACATAAAGAAACAAACAGACCCAATCAAACATTAAATGGAATTGAGCCCGCGATCTTTGGCGTAGCAGTCCATTACACAAACCACTACGCCATCCGGCCGTTATTATGCTGCACTATAAGCTTGGTGCTGCTCTATTTTGTAGATGAGAAAAAGGAAAAAGTAAGAAAATTACTGTAAAGTTGGTAACGCACGAGTGACAAAAGTGGGTGATCTAGGTTAAAGAGTCATGGGGTTTTCCTGCCTGTTCTGGATCTAGTTGAACTATTATAAGTAGAAAATGAAATTTGACTTTGTTGTTAGTAAGGACTGCACAAAATATTTAACTAAGAATTCAAGATTTATAAGATACATGAACCGAGAATTTTTTGTAAAAACTAATCCGTTGTTTTAATTTGTTACAGGTTTTTTAAATGTAATAGAACATTTAGAAAAAAAATTAAAAATGGTACTTAGCCTAAATAAGAAATTCACGAATTGCGAGTAATCGGTATAAAATAGTTTATTTTTTTACGAATTATATATAATCTTATATGTATAATAATAATATGTTATGTCCCTATACGATATGTGACTCATTGTGGTTTTAATTTTGTTCACATAGGAGCGGGTCTACCCTTAATAGCAAAAGTTTTTATGTCACAAAATTATTTTGTAGCATAAACGTCATTTCGCAGAAAATCGTTTGGCGGACACTCATTATCATACATTCAAAACTCATAATTTTGTAAGTCATAATCATCTTTAGGCATAAACTTCATATCTGTACAAATAAAAAAAATTGAAGTGTCTGTTTGCAATGGCAAAATAATAGGTTTTTTTCATTTCATCTCACACGGTAATTTGCATGATACCTATGCCTGAAAATCAGTTTTTTTGTCTGTTTGTTCCAGGGTAATCTTCTAAACGGCTGGACTGATTTTGGTAATATTTTACTACCAAGTAGCTGTCTGTATAAGGAGTAACTTAGGCTATTTTTCCTCTCATGAAAACCCTTTAAAATTTTGCCCGGTCCGGGAATCGAACCCACTGAGGCAGCGCTTTTCAAATTCCACGCGAACGAAGTCGCGGGTGCCAGCCAGTCTATACTAATTAAAAAGTAGAACCATCATATCGCCGAAAGTTCATAGTCATAATCATCTTTGAGCATACATTTCATATCGATAGTCATTAAAAGGCATAGATAGATAGATAGATAAATACTTTATTTGTACACCAGGATTTTACAGACATTATACAGTAATTAACAACCGATGTAATGTACAAAGGGCGGCCTTATCGCTTAGTGCAATTTCTTCCAGGCAACCTTTGGATGGATTTATTTTGAACTAGTGATAGGTATACTTAAATTAGAGAAGTAAATAAGGTCTTAACCTATGAAATATTTTTTATACATAAATACTACTAATCTATATTTATACATAAATACTATACATACATACGTTACTATATACATCCGCTAATTTTCAACTATTAGAGACAGATAATGCTCATATAGCATAGTCTTGAAGGTGGTAACGGATTGCGCACGTCTGATAGTAACCGACAAGGCATTCCATAAACGTACAGCTTCTACGGAAAATGATTTTGTGTAGAAATTGGTGGAATGCCTTGGTATTTCCAATCTCAAGCTTTCAAAGGACCTCAGACATTTCATATGTGTGTCATGAAGGAACTTAAAGCGTTCTTTGAGGTAAATAGGAGTTAATGGATTAATCAGTATATTACACAGAAGCGTAAGGATATGAGTATTCCGGCGAAGGCGGATCGGAAGCCACCTGAGCTTTTCACGGTACTGGGAAACATGATCATATTTGCGAAGTCCAAATATGAAAATGTTTATTTTGTCCAAATGGCATAACGATTTTATGCAAATAAATGTTTCTTTCTTTCTTTCTTTTAAAATGTCACAATAGTTCTTCATGTAAAAATAAAAAATATTTTTTTACTTACTTAATTCTGAGATGTCAGTAGATCACTGCCTATTTTTACAGAATTGTTTTGTTGCCTAAGTTTTTAACTGATTACTTATGAGTAAATTAGATTATGTTAGTTAACCCAGAAGAATTTTAAGTTCAATGTTATTTGATTGTGTGTTTACTATACATTTTACCTTTGAATAAAGATTGCTTTTAATCAGCATTAACTACTTATTAATTGTTAATTTTAAGCAAATCTAATGTGTTATTTTAGTCTGTCATTTTATACCCTCCTACTTACTTACTTACATAACATTAATAAATACAGGCCCAAATATAGTTACTTTACACATTGCCGGTGGATCAACAGGTACTCTGTACAATACCTAGGAATTGTATACATTACCTAGGTAAAGTATATAATGAAAAATAACATTCATAATATTTCATACATTGCCTAGACGCCTTAGGTATTCTATACATTACCTAGGTATTGTATAGAATACCTGAATTATACAGATTGCCGGTAACATATATACCTAATCTGAAGCTTGGAAACGGCTCTAACTATTTTCATGAAATTTACTATGCAAGGGGTTTTGGGGGCAATTAATCGATCTAGATAGGTTTCATTTTTAGAAAATTTACCAAAAAAGAAAAGCGAGCAAAGCTCGGTCATCCAGGTACTTATAAATATTGCCAGAAATCACACTTTTAAAAGCACTATGTACTTACTAAAAGATCATTAGGATTCGTATTCGAAGTCTAAAACTAAGAGAAAGTTATAAATGATACATACCATAAAGTGACGCAGAGGGTTGGTGAGTAGCCAGCCAATGGGCATACGCATGGCCGGCGAGTAGCCCAGCATCACTTAGCGCACTTAGCTCAGGGCATGTTGATGTTGATGATACTGTTAAAACAATAAAAAATACATATATTTAATTATTCACTATCATAAATATTATGTTTCCTTTACGAAACTTACAGTAACATTTAATGTCCAAGCAGTGATGTTGTTTAGGTGTCGAGATTTTATTAATTATGTAAATTAATACCTAAATAAGGGGTACAAGGAATTCTTTTCGGCTTTCAAAAAATGTTTATGAAATAGCATTTAAATGCAAATTATAGAGTAGTGAATATGATTGATAAAACAACTTGAAAGTGGAATATGAAAATAAGTTTTTACATATATTTGATATAGATATATTGGATAAAGGGCGGCGGACGGCTCCCCTAAAGGTAAGTTACTACCACCATCCATGGAAACGTGTAAGTCAAAAGTTGTTGATGTGATGTGATGTGAAACAGATACTTCAATTTTATTAATTTGTATTTTTAAATGTAAATTTTATTTTATAAGCATATTTGATAACTATTTTAATTATTTCTTGACTATTAATTTCATGTTTGAAAAAGACACACCCTTAAAGCACAATGCCAAAGTCAAAGCTAAGATAAAAATTGTGGTTCGAAAATTCTAGTACGACATAATATAAGGTAGTTTGTAGTAAACTTTTATAGTCTTGAAGTATTGTCAAGACGCAAACAATGAGTGCTTAGTGATTTTATTGTAATTAACAAAATACGAATGAGGGTTCAGCCTTTCTTACCATTATGCTCGTCTGTAGCTTCTTCAACAGTATCACCATCATGTGAATTAACAACTTGACTATCATTATTTTTATTATTAATGCCCAATATACTATCTATTAGGAATGTTTTGCTTTTACCATTAATTATACTATTAACTGCTTCTTTCGTATTACTGCTAGATCCGCTACTGTCATTGCATAGATTTTTAATACTGTCCAAAGTCTTGGCGGGAAATATGAGACGACCCGGCTCAAAATAATGAATTTTGTCTCCATTTAGAAATGGATTTATAACGTTTTTGAGATTTTTATTTTCACGAATTCTATTCATAGCTTGTTCACTGTTTTCACATATGTCTATAGTTTCATTTTCACTGTCGTAATCTGTTTCTGATTCACCATCATAATTTGAATATTTATCAACACCGCAAACTATACGTGACGCTGTATTCGAGACACACTCATTTTCAGAAGTGCTTGTAATATCGTCCATCGTGTTCATAGTCCGTTTTAATTCCATATGTTTATATTACTTAACTAATAATTTCAAATATCGAAATTTATCACTTCACTTTATGCTAAAAGGTCCATCTCGGAGATGACTAAATCTCATAGCTAAGAGTTGGTCGGAAACTGATAATTGCATCCGAAAAAAGGTGGTGCCAAGAACTGGTCCGCGGTGGCTGTAGGTATGAACGAGATGTGTTTCTCTAACGCTACTGGTTGAACGGTTGTTGGAGGGGATAACGCCATCTTAAGTAGGAGGGGCCTGTATAACCGCCTGTGAAAATTCACACCTTTCTTTTATTTGATAACACGTTATGTCAGCGCTCTTTAGTTCACAAAAGATCTCTAAAAGGTTTTGATGAGGTGGAGGATCCAATTTCTACCGGTTATTGTTTGATTAATGTCGCTGATTTAAGTGATTTATGGTAAGCGATCCACGTGCTTAATGCGATGTGGTTAAAAGGAACACTTGAGGAGGATTTGAAAGGGATGATTACAAATTAAAGTAGGGATTAAAATATATTTTTTTAATGCGGTTTCTAACTTCTGATCAATAGTTTTCGAATTGCCAAACAAAAGACGGTTTGCAAGAACAGTAGCATCTTTCTGATCAGTTATAAAATAAATGTTTTTGGTTTTTGGTTTTGATAGGTGTTTAAAATAATATTTAAAATCGTATACATACAATTATAACTACTAAATATTTTTGTAAAGTAGGTACTTGCTATGTCAAACATCTGTCCAATCGTTGATAAATTGGTACGAGTAAGTAAGTGTCATGCATTACTACTTTAAGGTAATACGGAACCCGCTCAGCTTGAAGTAGAAATAGGTCTAGGGTACCAGAGGCTGCATTGCCACTTTTTTTCAAAATCATTCAGGTCATGTCTGTTCCCCTGTAGTGTCTTCGTGGGAAAATCTAGAGGCCTAAATTTTCAGTAGCTAAGAAGAGATAACACATCACCGTGAGAGAGCCAAACTTCGACTGGACAGGCTCGACCGGATTGGCACCACGGCTTCACAGAAAAACCGAAGTTAAATAATTCTTTAATTGCTTTTAACCGAGTAAGTGAGGTTATCGGAGCTCAAATTCCCCCTACCTTTGAACCTTAACCCGTTAAGGTTGGTAACGCACTGTGATTCTTGAGAGTGTCATAGGCAGCGGTAGTCACTTTTCATCAGGTGTCCCGTCTGCTCCTTTGTTTCCAAGTCTAAGTTCCTTAATTTTGTATGTTATTTACTCATCGATCGTCAAAATTCTAAGTTTATTTTAAAATTAAAATTCCCCCATCGCCATGATGCACCACAAAACAAAATAACTGTGGATAATCGACTGCCTCGGTGGTGTAGTGGTAGCGTATACGACTGCTGTCTCGGGTTCGATTCCTGGGTCGGACCAAATTTTTGTATGATCCGCAAATATTTGTTTTGGAGTTTGGGAGTTCTATGTAAAATTTTATTTTATTTTATTTATACAATGGCGGACTTAAAGACGGCGGACTTGACTTTCTTCCAGTCAACCTTTGGGTGGTAGGGCAATGTCTGTGTAGGTGCACTAGAAATTAATTTTTGTTTTAAAAAGATGATAATCATACTTAATTGAGGAGATGGACATAAACAGTGGGACACATAAATACATACTGGAATACATATACACATTACACATATAATTGCTAAGTTACATACATACATATAATATACACAAATAATATACTAAATCTTTATGGTTGTGATGAATCTGCTGGGGTGTCCAGAATGCGAGCTCGGAATTTCGTCTTAAATGACAGGCGGCTGGGTGCTATCCTGATTTCAAGAGGTAGAGCGTTCCAAAGGAAGACAGATTGGATTAGGAACGAAGAGTGGACACACGCGAAAGTATGAGTGGGATATAACAGGAGTGGATTGTTTGAGGAACGGAGGGTTCTGTTGTGATTAGAACATAGAAATTGGAATAAGGATGTCAGGTAGGAATGAGAAACGGGTGAGTTGAGAATAGAATATGATGAGAGCGCGCAGTTGACGGCGCTGGCGAACCGTGAGCCAGTTCGATTCGTGACGAAAGGCAGTAACATGGTTAAAGACGAATCGAATGCAATTATTTAGAAGGCGGTCATATTTATTGAGGAGATTTGCATTTAGGTCATTGTAGCACACATCACCATAATCCAAGATTTGGACAAGTAGGTTTTGTTCTAGCATCGCTTTTGTTTCGGGAGGCAGGAAGTTCTTAAGTACTTGTATTTACAAAAAAAGTAATAGACCTTTACCTATGAAATTACCGTTTTGTATGCAATAAGTGAAAGTACTTATTTTTTTAAACTTTTTTATTTCTGTTATTCGAAGTAATCACCCATGCAATCGACGCATCTTTGCCAACGCATTGGCAGTTTATTGATGCCCTTCTTGTAAAAATCAGCTGGACGGGAGGCAACAAACTCTTCAAAGGCAATTTGTACTGCCTCTCGGGAATTGAATTTTTTACCCACTAAGCATTAATGCAGATGTGTACTATGAAGAACTGGAGAGAATGATGGAGAAGCTTGCATATCTGCAACCAGCTTTGGTCAATCGGTCGTCCCCAATGTCCGAAATATTATTAAAAAGTCTTGTCTGCTGGTTTTTGTAAAGTATAGTTATAAGTTATTTTTGCATTGCATGATTCTGTATGCGTAGATTTATTATATTAGATATATATATGTATATATATATATATATATATATATTATATAATTATAAGAAGATGAGCGTATCACATCATTATCAACAGCCTTTAATAGTCCACTGCTGGACATAGGTAGAGACCTAGTAGTAAGTAGTAGTAAGTTAAAACCTCCTTTCTAAGGAGAGCCTTAGAAAGGAGGTTTTAGCTTACTACGAGTATACAACGCTGGCCAGGCGGGTTGGCATTCTTTGCAGTACTGTTGTTGGGTGTGCAGACACCCACGGGATGAATAGCATCCCGTGGGTGTCTGCCCACCCAACAACAGCACTGGGTGATGACACTCCATATTCTTAATGAGTCACCACAAGTCACACACATACATCTATAGAATATAAACAAAAGCTATGAATATATTAGCTCTGGTTGCTTTGGTTAGCGTACCATGTATGGTTAGAATGCTTAGGCTTAAGTTATTCCTTACATTTCACAAAACACACAAAAATAGGCATTAGCAATGTACCTTTATTGCCATTGCCTGCCCACGCTAGCCACCTATCTTTTCAATCTAGATTGGTTATATAAATGTATAATATAATGATCTGCGGGCACGCTACCATCGATGGGCGTAAGGTGAAAAATGTATTCACTGTTTATTATTTTTCTGTTATGTGGTGGCTACGTGGTTACTGAGTAAGTTAACACATTGTTAGACACAATCGTAGCCAGGTCAGTTCATGGATGGGTCACCAGGTTAATATTTTATATCTTATAAGGTGACCAACTTGGATTGTGACAACATTGGCATCTATAAGTGTTTTGTTACGTTATGATTATAATATGTTACTAGCCGACCCGCACAACTTCGGCTGTTCATTTGGTCCATTTTGCAACGTTTTTCATTGATACTCGGCCCTTATTGGTAGCAGCATAATGCTGTATAGCCTTCCTCTTTGTCGGGGAACGGTCGTTGTATTCCTTCAACTAATAGGGAGGGCCTGAGGATCTGTCTCATGGTATGACTTTAGGTCAAACTCCAAAAGAATGTTCACAGTCTAGTTAATATTGCACGTTCAAGATAGATTTAATAAATAATTATGATCCACAAAGGAAGTAAAGTACTCGTCACTGCCGCTGTTTACTTTCCGAAATCTAAAATGATTCTTTTTGTAGGTATTCGTAATTATGATGCTGAGCCCAGGCCCGCTGCTAGCTGTTTGAGCGCTCACGTTTAATCATAACAAACAAACCGCCTCTTTTTGTGCGAACTCCCCATTAGGATACCCTCCACCAGACAACCGGTGGGGTCATTATTTCGGACTCGAACCGACTAAAACTCCACACTGTCTCGGGTACCAGTAGCTGGGGAACCAGGTGTAATCTTTTTTTTATTGGCGGGGTGGAAAATCCCTTCGGATCTCCGGCGGTGGTGTTTCCACTAAAAACCACCCCGACAGCCGGTCTCTACGCCCTGCTCTGGGGGGGACCCGGACTATCTTATTTCAGCCCCCCCCTGAATCGACGCCGCGCCTAGCCAAGCCCTATCCCAGGGAAAGCAGGCTTCCCGACGCCTATCGGCCCTATCAACGTGTGTTGTGGTCCAATCGCGTCTTGCGATGGGGCCGCCATCCTATCGCCAAACTAGGTGTAACCTAGAAAGGAAGTTACTGGTACCCAGACGGACTCTGGGCCATCTACGACTTACAGATGGGCCCCTGTTGTTAAGATGGTGTCTGAGTTTATAAACGTTTGCATTTAGTTTCGTACATTGATTGCTAGATAGATAGACATAATAAAAATAAATTAGACATGCAAATTATGAGAACATATCGTTTGCGTTTCGATGTCTGTTTTTTCCGCACCCTTGAAAATGCCGCCCTAGTGTAGTGCACGCTCTGCACACGCTCTGCCTAATAGCAACAATGTCCTAAGAGGATCTTTAACGTACCTAACCTGTCTTACCTAACTGTTGTACCGATTGTTTACTCCATCGAAGAGTAACAAACATGATCAGAATTACAACATTTGTATTAATTCATACTGATATTATAAATGTAAAAGTGAGTTCGTTTGTTACGTTTTCATAGATTATATAACAACCAGAACCAAGTACTGATGAATTTTCCTAACCGTTAAGGGTTCCAATGTCGTAGAAGTTAAGCGCCATCTCACGGCGAGACGAAAATTTCAAACATGACGCAGCCAACAAAAGAGCATGAGTTAGCATTGAACAAGGTATTTATTTTTTCATTTTACAAGAAAAACCGCAATGTGAAAGAAATAGAAAGCAGGATTAAGCGCCCTCTCTATATTTATTTCGGTTTGGT